ATCCATCCCAAGGACCACATCCACCCCGGCACTGTGATCCATTATCCACATTTCAAATTCGTAGACCTGCTCCCACCCGTGGGTGATCTTGACGAGCGCCCGTCGCCGGGTCTCCATCACCCCTGGGTTGATGCCGCGGACTTCGAGACTTTGTCCGTGGTCCCGGACTTCTCGCACCGTAGCCGCAGAAATCACGCTAACATTCGCTCCAGTGTCAAGGAGTATCCTCGTTCGCGCATCGTCCACTGCGCCATTGACCAAAGCCCTCATTCGCTTCCTCTTGTCGTATCGTTGGGACGACCACCACCCCAGTTTCTCACCGGGCAGTAATTTCACCGCCCAAACGAGGTACCGAGGTTTTCTCCTGATCTGGGCTAGACTTGTGATCAAAGCCTCGGTCGGGTGTCCATCACGTTCATCATCATCTTCTTCATCAATACCAATCTCAACGAAACTTGCGTCCCGGTTCTCTCTATTTTCCGTCGGTTTCACACGTTCATTGTTCTTCAGGTCGTCAGGCCGTTTGCTTTCGCCCGTGAACGCGAACAGATAGTCCGCATCAACAGCAGGCTCAGCTAACTGTGGCAGCCCGATTGGGACCAACCCAGTTTCAGTTGGCGGGCCGCCTAGTTTAAATGGCTTTCATACACCAGGCTTTGCAGCTCTGGCGACAGATCCTTCTTGTTGACCTTGGACTTCAGGAGCTTGGTGAGCTCGTGGAGTGCTTCACACTTCCCAGCGTCGGGCACCTGTTTGCACAGTTTGAACCGCCGGTACCGAGTGGGACGGGCTTCCGCACGCGGCACACGGCCCATACTGGCGTCGACCATCTCGTTCACGGTTGGACGGGCCTCCTCCGTTCCTGAAGCGTCGGTTATCAGACCGAGCGAACGCTCCTTCGGCTGCGGCCCTGCGCTCAGCATCGTTAGCGGCAGCGACATGTCCGGTAGACCCATCCGAGTCGTAATCAGCGTCTGACTCTTCGTCCGAGCGTTGGTCGTCCGAGTATTGGCGTTCGTCCTCGAAGTAATCCTCGTTCGCCTAAGCATCACGTCGGGGGGCGTATGGAGCCTCGTTGCGTGCACCGACCGAGCCTCCGACGTTCCATTCCGCCATCACATCGGCCAGCGCGTCAACCAAAGTGACTCGGGACTGGTACGGCGATCCATCACGTCGGTCACGGCGACGGTCGTCTTCACTGCGGTCGTTGCGGCGGTCGTTGTCACGGCGACGTCGTTCGCGACGGTCTTCGTCGTGGTAGCGTCGTTCGCGGCGGTAGCCACCACGCGAATCCTCGTTCGACCTCGCATCGCGTCGACGTCCATCATCTTGACTCCGAGAGCGGCGGAACGACGATTCTCGGTTCGATTTGCGGTCACGGTGACGCAGGATGTCGTTGATCATGTCTTCGAGGTCATGGATGCTCTTGACCCGGACGTGGCACAGACGGTCTTCTAAGTTTCGGTCGTCACACGTGACCAAGAAGTGGTCCACGTGGGCCTTCGCGTCGCGACCACCGTTCTCAAATTGCACACCGGCGTTGCGAGCGTAGCCGTTGAGCCGGTTGAGGTAGTCACAAACGTGTTCCTTGTCTTCTCGCTTGGCCGAGTAGTACCGAGCCTTCGCAGACTGGGAAAACTTCGAGCAATAGTACTTGATGAACGCCTCGCTCAGCAACTGCCACGTGCGTCTTGTCTTGCGTGGGAGCTGGCGACACCAGTGCAGGGCTCCATCACTGAGCTTAAGTTCGAACGGCATACACCACTCGTTGGGTGGTGCATGCGTTCCCTTCATCTCTTAGATGAACGTTCGGAGCCACTACACGGAGTGCTCGCTCTAGTCGCGCGTTCCGTAGAGCGGCTTGATGTTGGCGAGAGGCAAATGCGTGGCGATCTCGAGCTTTGGGGTTGAGCTCTGGTTGTCGGTCGCGCTTAGCTCGCGCACCTGACGTGCCCATTCGCTCGGTAGGTCCCCTTCGTAGTAGTCGAGCCCGAGGTCATCGTCGCTGTCCGACGAATCATCTTGGAGGTCGTAACATCGGCCGGACCGACGACCGATCGCTCCGCGCGTGTCAGGCGTGGCGAATGCAGCCTCGTTCTCCCTAGCCAGACGTTCACTACGGTCCGTAGATCGTGGAGTTACCATGTGCGAGTCTTGCATGTACGGCGAGGCTTCGCCCTTGGTTGCAAAGACACCGTCATCAGTGGCTCCCTTCCGAGGGGTCGCTGGTAGCGGGACCTTCGACGGGTCTACTGCCTCCGAGGTCGAACGAAGCGTCCTTAGGCCTCGCGAACTGACGTCTGCCACTCCAAAGGCATTACGCAGCTTCTTCCTCCACTTGGTTAACGCCGTGGCAGCGGCGGTCGGCGTCCGACTCGCGAGCGCAGTCTCCGTGGGGAGGATCTGGGGTTCGCACCCCATAGCTCGCAGGAGGTCCACAGTATTCTGCGCAACGTGCCGAGTGCTCGTTGAGTTGATCGGCGTAGCCAACGCCCCTCCGAGGTCCATCCAGATGGCCTGGCGGACTTGCTTCGGGGAGAACAACTGCATCCACTCGCTCTTGGTCATCATCAGGTCTAGGCACCGGCCTAGGACCTTGTTGGCCGCCGGAGTATCCCCGTTGAGGGGAGGACGAGTGCCAACCGGCTTGGAGGTTGCCCCTCCTACCGTCACCGAGGCTTTGAAGTCCTCGGTGGCGCCGTCATCCGCGTCGTAGGCGGGCTCGGGGCCCGGCATGTCCTTGAACGTGTCGGAGAGGTCGCGGGTAATCGACCTTGATCCTCCACTGCGACCTGCCGACACAACCGCAGCTTCCGAAGTCTCGGACATCGCAGTCCGGACATCCCAGTCATCACCTTCGTCATCTTCTTCTCGGACATCGCAGTCCGGACATCCCAGTCATCACCTTCGTCATCTTCTTTGGAGTCCGAGGAATCAATCGCCGTGTCGTAGCTCACCGAACGCTCGTCAATCGACTCCATCCGATCCGTCGTTGGGGTCGAGAATGAGCTTCCGGAGCGCACCGAAGTCTCGTTGCGCATTCCACTCGAATTGGCCGGCGTCGCTGGTACCGCTGACTTGACTCCCTTCGCCATCTTCTCTCTTCTTCTTCTTCTTCTTCACTTCTCTTTTTTTCCTTCTTCTCCTCTTCGCTCGTTGGGGGTAAAGACCTACAACAACCAAGACACACAGAAGGTCACTCCAATCCCGGGTCGCGGCTCCAGTTGTGGTGTGGTAATACCACTAAAGTTCTCTTCTACCAAAAGGTATTAGAGACACCAACAACACGCTAACCCGCAAAGGTAAGCGCTTATTGGATCAAAACCTGAAGACCAGGAACGATCCCTTACACCGGGTCGGTTGCAAGCGCCTCTGGGTACCTTAGGTTATCTTCGGTCAACCCAAAAACCTGTACCACTAGCCACGAGCTAAGGCTAGGATACTATGTACCGCTTTCGCGCAACCCACTGCAGTCCCTCAGAAGTAAGGGTACCGGCGTGTTAGGCCTTATACAGGGGGACCAAGGTAAAACCTCGGTAGGTAGACTATTACACTCAGGGACACTCTAATCCCACAAATATATACTGAACGATACTCTAATACTGTTCCTGCCTCTCCGGCCACGCCAACTCTTGGAGCTACCAATGAACCTCTCGGTCAATGCACGATAAGCTACCCGACAGGCATCCACACGCAGCCGAGCGTGTCCAGGCACTACAATAAGCTAACTACACTTACCGAAGTCGGACTTGACCCTTGTTGGCTTTGGGGGAAGACTGTATTTTTATTACTGAGTTTTCTGACGCCCTGGGGGCCTCGTTCTGGCCATCCTATGATGAGTCCTATGTCCCTATACAAATATCTAGTGACCTCATCAACTTCGGATGGGAGGCTCCGTGTTACTGTAAGGTCGTGAAGCTAGGCCCTCGAGTCGTTCGCATCGAAGGCCTCCACGATGCGGCTGGACACATGTGGTCCATCAAGCGCTCCGAGGCAACTCACTGCACCGTGACCGCGTCCGAAGTTCGCTCCAACCCTCCTTCGGGACCTCAGAGTGGTCTTTAGACGACATGATCGAGCTTCATCACACGATCCTAGATCGTATTTGTGGCACCGGCAGCATCGACAGATCCAACGACGTTTCTACTATCTTAGCCGACCTTGTGGATCCATCATCCTTCCCAGATGTGAACAGTACTCGTACTTGAATCGATCCCAAGACGGGTGAGGTGCCGACGTTTACGCTGGAGCATGCCATAGACTACGTGTATTATTTCGATGAAGGGGTCCAGCGTCAGTCGATACTTCGTTCTGTAATCCTCCGTCAACTCGGGCTCGGAGCCAATCCACCAATCCGGTGTCGAGACAAAGCTCACCCGGCCTCGAGCTCTTCGACCCCGAGGTGGACGATGACGATGCCGCTATCAGCGAAGTCTCATCGGATCAAGCGCAAGCAAGTCGACCATCTTCCCGTAAGCGCGTGGCACGGGACACGGCAGCGAACCGGCCTTCGACTAAGCAGTGTGTCGTACCTCAGCAACCGGAGACAGACGCCGAGAAGGACGCCGAAATCGCGCAGCTCCTCATCGACCGTCCGGGTCTGGCCGAGCAACTTCGTTCCGACGCGGTGGTACAAAGCAGCCTCGCACACGAAGCTTCATTTGTGCAGGCACTTCCCGGTAGGCAGTCGACCATGACCCCCGTGCAACAACGACAAGGAGAGTGTAGTCACGACGCCCAGCAGACGATCACTGAGCAACAGGAAAGCAAGCATCGGTCAAAATATTCGTTTGTACCCTCGGTCACGCAGCGACGCATTCACGCACTGATTACCGCTTTACGCCACCAAGGTAAGAGCGTGTCCGTTTTTCTCGAAGCGCTGATCAACTCTGGTTTTGTGCTTTTTAAGCCCTTCCCAAGCGTCTTGGGGCGTGCGTTTGCCATCGAGTTCGGCGTTCGGGGGCTTTCGTTCATGCACTTCTTGCCTTTCACGCCTCAGTGACAAAGCAGTGTGGACCGCGACTAGTGGAGTCAATATGAAGAATTTTTCAGCGGCGGCAGCCCCTGCTGCAGGAAGCATCGATGACATTATTGACGCCCTCCAGTCACTCGCCACATACGCGTCAGAGTTCTTCTCATCGGTGCTACGGGACCTAATCGACACCCTGGTCACGTTTGCCAAGTTTCGTTTGAGGCAGATGAAGTGGGACCAAGCTGATCTCGTTCTGCTGGTGTACTGGATAAATTCCATTCTGGAGAGTTTTCGTATCGAGTTGGAGGCGGAAACCAGTGATGGATCGCGTATAAAACTTCGCTGCTCCGAAGAAGATGCTGATTTTCGTCAGATACTCATCCACATTCAGCAACGCCAGATTCGCGAATTGCAAGCTGCGCTCAGCACTCCGCACAGCAAGCGACTCCCAAGTTCATCGAAGCCGTCTTCGACTCCACAACAGGGTGATAGTAGCCAGCTCCGTGTGCAGTGCGTGGTGAAGTCAGAACAATCTATTCCAGCCGATGTCTACGCTCTACTTCCCGTCGAAGATGGGAAACGACTTTGTCTCCGCTTCCTGTCAAATGCTGGTTGCAGATCAAATAACGGGAAGTCGTGTCTGTCCGCCAAGCGAGCTCATTTTGTTCCAGGCTCGCTCAACCCTCTGGTCAAAGACTTAATCACGGAACGGTTTGGTGGGCTTAAGCCCGAGCATGCCTCGTTATGACGCCGTACTACTACCTGCAGTGTCGGCTTCGACCTCACACCGCCCCATGTTCGTTGTTCAGTTTTACAGAGTGGTGCGAACCACTCCGCCGTGCGTACATGTGAAAGCCCCACCTCGGACGCACAGCTCGCGGCTAGCCCGGCTCGCGACGAGTTTCCTCGGCAGTTTGGTCTGGAACGAAGTCCCGGCTCGACGTCATCTCCGAGCGATTTCGGCGCTTCCTCCACTATGGACCAGCCTGTCATCGGATTTCCAAACCGTTTGTCGAACATGCAGAAGGCTCGACTCATTTCTCTCTCGCTACACTCGGCCGCGCGTGTGGCTTCCCTACTCGAAGCAAATCTGCTACGCGAGGAAGCTCGTCAGTCTGTCGAACATCGTAAGCTTGGCATACGTAGTGCACCACGCGCACCCGCAGAGCCCTCCGGCCTCGACATGGTTGCGAAAACGTCGATCTCAGCGATCATTCGAGCGCAACACCTCGGCCTCGCTGATATTGTGCGCCTGTATCGCCATGAAACCAGCACCGATTGCCGGCCGAACAAAGCTCTCGATCCCGAAAGAATGAAATTTCTTCTAAAAGGGTCGAGATCGCGTCTCATGGTATAACTCCAGTATGGACCGCGGACCAGCACCGTGCCTGTCGGGCCCCTAAAATCGCTCGTCGTTTACTCGACACCTCAATTCAGCTCTCCGGAGCATTCGAAAGGGCCAAGACACCGGCAGATTTCTCGTCGTGGACACGGATATACTGGATTGGTGGGACACAGTGCAATGCAGTCCGTTTGGAGCCGTAGAAAAGAGCGACGCAGATCCTCTCATAGAGGTCAGACTAATTCACGACCTGTCATTTCCTAAAGGAGCATCGACGAATGATCTACTCGACAAGTCTTGTCTACCCGAAGTCGAATACACCTACGTGACAGTACTGGCGGCAAGAATCGAGTTCCTGGCCCATGCACACCCGTGTTGCACCATCAAGCTGCTCAAAGGTGATGTTAAAGGCGCTTATCGACATCTGATGACTCACGCGCTTCACGTCCATCGTATGGCTGGCCTAATTCCCGAATTACATTCTCATCCAGCTTCAGTCCAAGTCTCTGGCCGACTCGTCAGCAGCCAAATACGCCAGGACATGGACCCAATGGACAGAGGGTGCGAATTCATGTAGTTCTCCCCGTGGCTCCCCAACGACAAAGCCCAGCAATCGTACCAGCTCGCACTCTTCGCTGTTTTTTGCTGGCGCTACGGATTCGGCCGACAAAATCAAGGGAACTCAGCTTCAACCATCCTCTCCAAGATCAGTCACATCTCTTGGAATCATCAGTACAAACACGGGTTCAGCGTCGGGCTGTTGCCCGGACACAAATTGGCAATCACCGGAATGCGACGGTATGACAGGTCATCCGCAAGGAAACTCCCCGTCACAGTCCAGATCCTGCGGGCAGTACACCGCCGCCTCAATTTCTCCGTCACCCACGACCGAGTTTTGTGGGGCGCTACGGTCCTGGGTTACTTCTATTTGCTGCGGCGATCCGAGTATCTTGCCAATGGCAGGAAGTCACAGCCTTTCGCCATCACGAGGGAGGACGTCGCAGTGCTAGACGATTCTGACAAGCCGTGCACGACGCTAGCCCAGGCGACGAAGGTCAAGATTCGCTTTCGCGGCATGAAAACCGACCAATTCGGTGAAGGAACTACACGGACACTTCGGCGATCGGGGGCTGGGTGGTGCTGCCCTGTCCAAGCTGCTTGGTTTCTGACGAAGCACCACCAAGCCACCGGTGCTCTCGCCAACACGCTGTTATACCAAGTATCACGGGGCGAAAAGCTCCAGGTTTCTCACGTGGCTTCGGCTCTCAAGTACGCGGCGGCATCAATTGGAGAAGACCCCGCTCATTTCGGCTCCCACTCACTACGCAGTGGTGGTGCGACGGCTTTGTTCAACGCCGGTATCGACAGTCTGGCCGTCAAGATGTTCGGCCGATGGAAATCAGACGCCGTCGAAAGATACACGGTGTTCAAGGAAGATCTAACAGCCTCTCTTTCGCGCAGTATGCTCGGCAAACATGCTTAGCAGCGTTTTCAACTGGGCAACCTCCACGCCACTCCCTGGCAGCGAGGCGCTGCTAATCAAGTTTTCCTCAGGCCACTGTGTGGTCGATCCCCCAGAACGACTTGAAGAAAAAGCCGAGGGCTGCACGACTGCAGCTATGGACAATGCTGCTGGGAATGGGCAGTTGGAGGTTGTCAAATGGCTACACGACACCAGGAGTGAGGGCTGTAGCACAGATGCCATGGACCGCGCTGCCACAAATGAGCACTTGGAGATAGTTCAGTGGTTGCATTTTAACCGGGAAGAAAGTTGCACCATCCGTGCTGTGAACGGTGCGGCGACCAACGGATTCCTGGAAGTTGTCGTGTGGCTACTCGAGAATCGGTCGGAAGGGTGCTCCACTGCAGCCATGGACGGCGCGGCCGGAAACGGGCACCTTCCTGTCGTGAAATGGCTCCATGAACACCGAACGGAGGGGTGTACCTATAGAGCTATCTGCGATGCTGCTGAACATGGTCATTTAGCTGTGATTGAGTGGCTTCATGACCGCACAAACGAAAATTACTCGGGATAGGGGTCTGGAGCTTCTTGGATTGGCTGTACGCTCACCACAGGCGCAAGTTTGTGGCCGAGTTTTTGGGGAGGTATCCGGCGACGAAAGCATGGAACGGTATTCGTTTGTTCGAGTGGGCCGCAAGATTCTTGCAAGAGCCAAGAACCCCCATTCTGCGGGCCAACCTTGCTCTGTTTGCTGCTTTTATGGACCGGCTACGAGAGGAGGACATGCAGCAGTAGCAAGATCTTCATGCGCTCAATGAAATGTAGCCATCTTGGCTACAAATGGGTAATTCCCGCGTTTTAGTGACCATCAGCTGCATTTTTTTGACTCAAACAATTGAGAGACCTCGCGTCATCTTTTTATTCTCGTGGGCCACCAGGAATCACCGTGCTCTCTGGGAGTTCGGGAAGAAGTTCAAGCAGCGGATGACTCGTAGTACGGAGGTCCCTGTCCTCTCTGGTCATCGTTATGCAGGATCAAGTTCCAGATCAGTCTGCAATTAGCTCTGCAGCGAGCACCCGACCCCGGCCAGAAGACCAAGCGATAGAGGATGGAGCGACCAAGGAAGCAGCGGAAGTTGAAGCACCACCCCCGGCCCTCACACTACCAACTCTGCAGGTCGACAACAGAATCCAAGTCCAAGTGTGTCTACACGTGATCTGTCGCACGTGGAGTCTCACTGAAGTTCCCTACGTCGTCGCCTCCCTCAAGGAGTTCTTGGGTCTTCCGCCTCGGACGATTGCGGACGTGAGCAAGTCGAGTGACTTGGTGACGCTGCGCCGAGTCATTGCACTGGACCAGTTCGAACCTGCCGACAGCATCCTGACATGTGCCGGGTTTAGACGCTGGCAGTTCAATGAAGCGATGAAGAACGCCGTTGACGCTGACAATTTGGAGATGGCCAAGGTTCTGCTTGAGAGCTTCCCCGACTTGAAGGCGTCGTTTGATGCTGTGAATCTTGCAGCTTCCAACGGCCGAGCCGATATATTGGCCTTGATGTTCAGTCGGAACGCTACGACAGTCGCTCCTATCGAACCCGGTGCTGGCGAAGACGCTGCGAATGATGAAGCGCACGCTGAATTCGGAAAGAGCTACGATCTCATCAGGTCGGCACTGGAGCACGGACACTTGGAGCTAGCGCAGTGGCTAGTGCCACGCGTGAACAAGGTGGCTTCGGCCACTTGGATTAGGGCGGCTGTCAAGGGTGGGAGTCTTCAGGCGGTGCAGTGGGTCTACAATCTACAGCCTCGTTGCGATGGGATATCTTCCGGTGCTATTGACGCGGCGGTGAAAGTCGGCATCGTGGAGATGGTAAGGTGGCTTCTTGAACGCTTTCAAGGGTTTGTGGATATGGCTCGAGTGGTGCGTTGTGGACACTATGATACCATCGAGTGGCTGCTTTCGGTCCGTCCCAGCCGGTGCTTCGGGCTAGGAATGGCTGTGGTTGTAGCTGCTGGTCGAGGAAGGCTCGACATTGTTTGTCTTCTTCTACGCCACAAACCAAAGAACGGGGCCAGTGGAGCCATGGACGCTGCCGCAGGACATGGCTACTTGGACTTGGTTCGATGCCTGCACGCTAATACTTCTGAGAGCTGCACAGCCGCAGTCATGGACACTGCTGCCGGAAACGGCCACTTGGAGATGGTCAAGTGGTTGCATGCGCACAGAACGGAAGGCGGCACGAGGGAGGCCATGGATAGCGCTGCAGTCAGCGGACACCTGGAGGTTGTCGAGTGGCTGCATGCCAATAGGGTGGCAGGCTGTACTACTCAAGCTGTGGATGGTGCCGCCAAGAATGGCTACATAGACGTCAAGTGGCTGCTCCAGAATCGCAGTGAAGGCTGTTCACCTCGGGCTATCAATTCCGCCGCCGCCGGTGGCCACCTAGAAATTGTGCAGTGGCTGACGAATTACGGCAAGACGTGCACTACGGATGCTATGGACGTCGCGGCATGTAATGGGCATTTGCACGTGGTAAAGTGGCTACACGCGAACCGGAGTGAGGGATGCACGACCCAAGCGATGGATGAGGCCGCGAAGAATGGGCATCTTGATATTGTGCAATGGCTGCATCGCAACCGAAGCGAAGGCTGTTCGGGTGTTGCGATCAACCTGGCAACCCGTTTTGGTCACCTGAATGTCGTTCGTTGGCTTCATACAAATTTGGCTCCAACAAATGTGGGGACCGCCACTCTTGTAAGCGCGTTGGAACTTTCTCACTTCAGTGTGGTAGTGTATGCCAGCATGGAATGCAGCGCTGACCTCCTCAAAGCGCTCTCGAAAGTTCCTCAATCGCGGTTGGAGTTTTTGGATTGGATATATTCGCGGTACCCGTCCGAGTTCGTCACTGCGTTTTTGGAAAGATTTCAACCGAAGGAGGACTGGGCAAAGTTATGCTCGCGCCCCAGAGTGCAAAACTGGCAGTTACTCAATCGTCCAGCCGCGTTGCGTCGCGTTCGTCTACCGCCTATCGTCGTACCAGACATAGCACCCCAGCATCGTTTATTGCTTGAGGGAGGACGTCGGCGCCGTCAAGAGCTGTTCGCACTCATTTTTGGGGGTAGAAGATGACGAAGGCAACGAGCACGGAGAGCACCGAAAGTTGTCGAGCCATCTTCACATTCATGCATGGAATCCAAGAGCGAACGCACACAACTTTTGCCGTCGTGCTCTTTTTGTTTTAGCGGAGCGCATGGCAATCTCCTATATCTGAATACTCGGATATTGTAGCTATGATGTCGCCTTCTCCAAAATGGTTTTCTTGAAAATGTATCACCAAACTACTACTAGATGAGCGAATATTCTGCTAAAAACGGATACATATATGGGACGCATTTGCTCCTTGAACTCGAGCTAAACCGTCTTTTACGTAAATTTTTCTTACTGTTGCTTCCATTGAAACGTAGCAGTCGTAAGCCTTATGCCAAAGCCTATTCTAGCTTGCGCCCAGTGATGATGTCATTTCTTAGCTGAGAAGCTGTTTTCGGATATTTCCCCAAGAACTTCGACACCAACTCGGCTGGATAGCGAGAATACATCGACTCTTAAGAAAGTCATCGCGACCGATATGAACGAAAGAACACCCGCTAGTCTTTTGTCGTCTTCGCTCTCCGAACCGGTTAGAAACTCCGTGTCAAAATGCCCCGCCCTCACAGCACAGCGAAGAGCTTGTCCAGGGCAGGCCTCTTAACCGTGTAGCCAACTCGCAACATCAAAGTGGTTGTTCGTAGAAGCGTAGTCAATTGATCGACAAGTTCCTGCCATTTGGTTGTCGTGTAGCCACTTGACGACATGGAGATGTCCATATCGCGCTGCGACGTCCATCGCATTAGTTGAACACCTCCCCAGATCATTCTCGTGTAGCCACTTGACAACATCAAGAAATCCCTTTTCAGCTGCGGCATCCAAAGGCAGCACGATTTGGGGTATGGATGATCCATACCCCAAATCGTGCTGCCTTCATCTTGGTGCAAATACAGCCACTGGACGACCTCGAGGTGCCCATTTCTGGCAGCAGCATCCATGGCGTACTCAGTGCAGCCCTCTGCCCTGTTCTGATGTAGCCATTTGGCCACGTCCAAATGCCCATTCGCGGCAGCCATATCCATAGCTCATGTAGTGCAACCTTCCGTTCTGTTCTCATGCAGCCACTTGACGACCTCCAACTGACCGCCGATGGCAGCTTCGTCCATGACATTTGGGTCACCGACGTCGGGTCTAACAATGGTAAGTAACCACTTGACCGCATTCAAGCTGCCGTTAGCCGCAGCAATACTCGTATCTTGTCCCGTAAAGTTGCCGTCGACTGCAGCGTGTCTTAAAAGCAATCGCGCTAGGTCAAGTCTCCCATGACGCGGACACACTGGTTTGCAGCCCATTTGGTCTCCAAGCACTTGCCGCTGTCTCTAACTTCACGCCCGCTTCCACATACTCTAGCAACCATTTCAGAATATCCAGGTGTCCTTGATCCGCCGCCTTTTGGAGTGCCTGCCTGGTTCCAAGACTGGGAACCAAATCAACCTACAAACCAGCAAAATGAACGGTGAGAAACACCAATGAATGATAAGGTTGGCATAGTTTTACCCGGAAATATATGGGGCCAAGTGCAGTATGGTTCCATCATGACAATCCAATTCTTTCAATTCGAATCTGGCTAGTCTAAGGTCTGAACTGGCATTTTCGGTTCCCATGGCGGTCGACGGCGAGCTGTACGAAGGTCTGCTGCATGCTTTGTGCTGCGAAAAGCAGGTTGAAGGAATTCCCCATAGTCAAGTTACCATCGAGGCTTTTACGGGCTCTCCCCCACGGAATATCGCACAAGTGTGCAAACTCAACGCGCCGAAGCTACTGCAACAGATCATTACCAAGGTGGAAAATGAACCCGATGGTAGTTTATTGAAGCTACCAGGCTTTCGACGCTGGCAACTTGAAGAAGGCGTGAAGAGCGCTGTAAATGGTCGCCACCTCGAGATGGTCAAGACGCTTGGGCTGAGTTTTCCCCATTACAAAGCGTCATTTAATGTTGTCGATAGCGCTTTATCTCAGGGTCAGGCGGAGATTTTGCAGTGGCTGTATGGACACGGCCTAAATGGAAATGTCGCGATAGAAGGTGGAATGGTTGTGGCCGCGGTTGTGAGCGGTGATCTCGAGACCAGGGCTTCGCATTTACCATTCCACTACAGGTAATACGGATGAATGGTGTGCATTATTATAGTAGCATGCTGCACAGAAATAGACAGGGTGTGTAGTAATACAGTACTACTGTAGTACAGTAGTAGATACAGCAGCAGTCTAATGAGCTCCCAAAGATTTACTAGGATAAACTATAGTATCCACATAAGTGCGATTCACAGCTAGTAAGTACGAATTGAGAACTGACCGGATACTGCTTTGTAGTTTGCTGTTATACTGTTGCGTAGTCTACTGTAGAGTCGTGCGCATTTCGTAGAGAACTTAAATAATTATGAATGAAAGTATAGGATGGAGCGCGTTTCGGTGGTTCGATATCTCGGTCATCCATGCCAGGAGTCCTATTCAAGCCCATTGCATGCTAAAGTGTTGGGATTCAATGCCATTTGCGGCCACTCTGCGTACTGGTAGATATGGCCCCGTCTGTATTACGACCGTAATAATACAAACTACAACTATAGTAATGCAGCTAATACATAAGCCAGATAGTGGTGCACCCAGTAGCAATACAGTAGGCATGGGGTGCTGTATTAATACCGTAATGCGAAGCCCGGTGAAATGGGCTTACGCTCAATGTGGCTGTACTAAGGATCTAGGCAAAGCCCTCAACACGGCGGTGGATACAGGGTATCTAGATATTTTACAGTGGTTGCTTGAGTATGTAGAGGCAAGTGTGAACTTGTCGATAGCGACGTATCGTGGGCATTTCCACGTGGTGGAATGAATGCTTGAAAACCACCCCAGCAAGATCGCCAAGACTAAATGGACTGCGAAGGCATTTGTGCGTTGTGGGAGGCCTGATCTGGTGCGCTTGTTTCTAGACCGCACACCCGTCGACGCTGAGTTTGATGCAAACGACACGGATGTTTCTGCTGCCTACGGCCACTTGATGGGCGACGGCTGCACTGAAAGAGCCATTGACTATGCTGCCGGGAATGAACATTTTGAACTCCTCAAGTGGCTGCATCGAAACAGAACGGAAGTCACTGTGCGATGGACGTTGCTGCTGGGCATGGTCACTTGGAGATTGTCAAATGGCTACACGAGAACCGAACGGAGGGCTGTACTACAGATGCTATGGACTGTGCTGCTAGAAATGGGTACCTGGAAGTCGTGCAGTGGTTGCATTTCAACCGCCAGGAAGGTTGCACGACTCGTGGGGTCGACGAAGCGGCACAGAACGGGTTCCTCGAAGTTGTAAAGTGGCTTCTCGAGAATCGGTTGGAAGGGTGTTCAACCAATGCAATGGACGATGCAGCGTGAAATGGACACCTGCATGTTGTGAAGTAGCTCCATGAAAACCACACGGGGCAAAGCACCGAACGGGCAATCGAAGATGCTGCTATTTGTGGGCACTACGACGTTGTGCGATGGCTTCACGAGAATGGCTACGAAGCCTATTCTGGACACACACATTGCAGTGCAGTTAGGGCGGGAGTTTTCGACATTACGCTTTATAGCCGTTCTGAACGGGAGGATGATCGAAGTACCGCGAGGGCTATGTCACTCCTATCCAGCGGGTTCTCGCGGCAGTACCTAGACTCGATGTATTCTCGCCACCCACCAGAGTGTGTGTTGAAGTTCTTGGCGAGATGTCCACAAACTATCGCCACGCTAAAGAAAATGCGTCACCATTGAACTGCGATTATTTTGGCAGATACTTAAACTCTGCTCTGAACTGCTACTCTCTCACTGCTACATGGGGATTCGATCGCATCAAGCGTCACAAAATTTCTTAGGGGGCTGCATGCACAAGGGTATACGTAGCAAATCGAGGGACCCCAAGCTACCATCTATGCCTTCATTTGGGAGGGGGGGGGGCTGTTTCGCAAACCAGACAATTCATCTGAAAATTGCAAGCACCGTATTTTCATGGGCAAAAGCCCAGTTCATTACCGCGCCTTAGAGACACCTCGTTTCCACTTTCAGAATCAGTCTCAGCTTCGACAACGCTAAGAAACATGAAGTTGGTTCGAGGTAGCGGGTCTGCTGGATTTACAATTGGAACGGCAGCGCGCGACTCGCACACATAGCCGTGAGCTGCGGTGATCCTGCCCGCCACTAGATACCTGGAATCCCGACCCAGGCCTCACCAGAACGAAGAATGGAGCGATCAAGCAAGCGGCAGAAGCAGACACACCTGAGCGCGGCTCTACGATTCCGGGAAGTCGATGTCAGAGTCCAAGTGTGTCTTCGAGTCATCTGCCGCAAGTGGAAGGTGACGAAAGTGCCCTACGTTCTAGCCTCCCTGCAGGAGTTTGTAGGCCCCCCGCCTCGCACTGTGATCAAGGCGAACGACGTAGCGATGCTGCGTCGAGCTATTGCATTGAACCGACACGAACCAGGTGACAGCATCGCGAATTGCCTAGCGTTTCGTCGCTGGGAGTTCAACGAAGGGGTCAAGAACGCCATCATCGCTGACAACACCGGCTGTCACTGTTGTTCACCCGTCACGTACGCAACGCATTATTCGCGTTCCTCGCTTTCGCGATTTTTTTTCGAGCCGTTCCTGCCCGTCCCCGTTATCACGAGGATGCGAAGTATTTCGAGTTTCCTATCGACTTTGGCAAGAGCTACGCGCTTGTTCAATCAGCACTGGAACATGGTCGCTTCGAAGTGGCCAAATGGCACGATAGCGGCCGTGAACAAGATGGGGAGGGTGTCGCTGCTTCGCCGGCCAGTGGCCGTCACCACGGGAGATCCGGAGCCCAAGACTTTCCATGGTCAAGTCATTGGTGTTGAGGATGGCGAGGTGACAGTCGAGTCCGACGGTACCCAAATCGTTGCTCAAGTCGACGCGATCAAGGTGGTGGCGCCTGTGGTGGCTCTACTTCTGCAGCATGTCGCGCTCGACACGAGCGAGTGGAGTTCTACGGACTTCGACAACATGCAGGCGGCCATACTATCGAGGGTATTGGGAGGAGGGAATAACGAGGGAAGCCGGTCTATCAGCTGTATACTTAGTGGACTGATCGACGAACAGAATCATCCCGAGCCGTCTGCAATCTGCAAGTGGGTGGATCCTCATTCGGGATCAGAGACACAATTTCCTCTCCAACACGCGGTCGACTACGCCTTCTACATCGACGGTGAAGCCGGTGGCGCGCCGGCGGCACTTGGCGAATCGTTTTGCCGCGCACACGACGAATATGTGGTGTCCACCGGTACACAAGAGGTACAATGCCAATCTGCCAATACCGAGTCATGTGAACTTTTCAACCCCTTCAACGATGATGACGACGGTTTTCCAGATGCATCGGACCCGAACGCCAGACCGGTTCCAGCCACTGTGCAAGCAGCAGGATCAAAACGCAGCCAATCCCTCCATGGTACCAGTGTGGAAGTTGCTGAGTCTCCACACCAAAGACGCCGTACCACAGAGGCCACTGATTCTCTCCACAAGGATGCCCTGATTGTAGCGAGGCTAAGTCACGACTCCGAACTACTCGACCGTTTCCTGAACCTTCGTGAGCAGTCCAGGACTCAAGCGTCCAGTGCATCAGCAGATGATGAAGAACAACAACCGCTACCACCATTGGCGTCGCCGTGCAAGGCCAAGAGCACGACCAAGAAGTACAAGTATGCGTTTTCGCCACTTCGAGAGCGCCAGGAAGTTCACGACAAGCTAACATCGGAGCGCCACAGAGGTAAGGACCGTGATACTTATGTGCATGGTCAGATCCGATCCGGTGCCCTGCTTTGCAAGTCTCTCCCCGGCGTGTTGACTCGCGCGTACGACTACCAGTTTGGCAGTGAAGGTCTCTCGATAATGCACTTCAGCTTTATGGACAGAAAGAAACGTATGGAGTGGATAGACTCGGGCAGTGCCAATTTCTCGAACTTTTCGGCGACAGCGGACGTCGAACCAGCTCCAGCAGCCACCAGCATCAACGACGTTGTTGGTGCGGTGCGCGTTTTCCAGGTGTTCGCGCGCGAATACTGCGTCACTAGCGCGATTGAGCTGGTGGATGCCATCATTGGATTTATTGAGGCCAAGATTATAGCTCTGCCCTGAGAACCGGAGGACATACCGGCCTTTGTTTACTGGGTGAACAACGTTCTCGAAAGCTACCGAAATGCAGTCGCGTCTTCGGATAAAGATCCGGGTGCTAGTCGACTTCGATGCACGCTGGATGACCCCCTTCTGTGTGAAATATCGCAAGAAGTCCAAGAACGGCGAAGTCAGCAATTAGAACAGAAGAGCTCAACGAGTAGAGCACCCTTTGGCACGGTCGAAGCAACGCAGGCCATCCCGGGCCGTTCCGCCTCGGTGAGACAGCGAGGAAAAAGGAAAGGACACGACCCCATTCCGCCCAAAGTGCTGCAAAAACTGCCGAAGCAGAACGACACGCAGGGAGGAAGTCGCCGGCTCTGCATGCGGTTTCTATCGAATGCAGAGTGTGATGCCGATCGTCATGAAGGAGCTCACGACCGCCGGGCCCACTTTGTTCCGAAAACGCTAGATGCCTTGGTCAAAGCCGAGATCGAGAAGCGCTTCGATGGACTGAAGCCTCAAACACTTATGACTACCTGTGGCTGCTCGGTCGCCATCGGCACACATGACGCTCCGATCCGGTTACTCCCCAACGAAGCCTGCCAAGGTTATATCGAATCGATCAGAATGCCGAATAATTGAATGCAAACCCAAGTTGAACGACGCTGAGCCTACCCCCGCTGATGTTCGTTCCCGTAGTGCCTTTGCGGCACCTACAGGCGATATTAGTGTGGTCGCTGTAGAAAACCTCCGTTCCACGTCAATGTCATCTCTCACAACCTGCACTCGAATCTCCAACGATGCTGAGCCTGCCCCCAGCGCTGATGGTTGGGCTAACATCCACGGAATGCCCCAAGTATTGGCTGCTTTGGGTGCTGCAGAAAATCTCCAGACATCAAAATATTACGCACGGTTGCTCTTAAGAACGACGCTGAGCCTGCCCCTAGTTCCACTGCTTGGGGTAACACATCTGTGCTGCCTCAAATAGTGACTGCTGTGGATGCTGCAGAAAATCTCCGTTCAACACCTGAGCAAAGTCCTCACCATCCTACCACGGCGTATGCATCGAATTCTATTGCGCCTCATCAAGCCAGGATGGCTTCGTCCCATGATAATGCTGCGCATGCCTACAGCTCCACCGCTTCGCAGAATCTGGTATCTCTCTCACGGGAGTCTGCCATTACCATACATCACGAGCTGGAGTTACGGCTTCTTCGAGACGAAGCTCGAATATCCCAGCTTCACCGCCACTGGGGGCTGCGACGATCGCATCCTACTTCCGCTGACAAATCGGTCATCGACATGGTTGCGTGCCGCTCGCTATCGGAGATAATTCGATCGAGACAGCTAAGCGTGGAGGACGCGGCAAAATTATTGAGAGGCGAAACTCTACCTGACTGTAGACCAAACAAGGCGCTTGACCCGGATCGTTTGCGGTATGTACTACGTGGGTACCCACACTTAGACCTCCTGATCAATATCGCCACGAAAGGTATCGAGGCACAGTGGGGCGATAGCCCCATACCAGGTCGGCCTCCACCCAAAAACCACGGGTCGTGTCGTCGACATCTGAAAGCCGTCGGTAAAAGCATCCGCGCAGGCCAAGATAGCGGGCAGTACATGGTTGTCGACGCCGATATCCTGGAGCGATGGTCGAACGTAATCTGAAGCCCACTAGCGGTTGAGAAGAAGGACGTGGATCCCTCCGTTGAAGTGAGAACCATTCACCCATTTGGTAATTCTACGAACGATTACTACCAGAAAAAGTCGGTGCCAGCCCTCACTTACGAGCCAGTGACTAATATTGCTCGACGTATCGAACACTTGGCTACGCGTCATCCTGGTGTCCGCGTATGTATCCTGAAAGGCGATGTGAAAGGTGCATACCGACATCTAATGTCTATAGCATCTCAAGTATTTCGTATGGCAGCTCTGGTGACAGACCTCAAGATTTTACTGATCGACTTAGCAGCCCCCTTCGGATGGTCCGGATCCCCACCATTTTATGGGCTGTTTGGACGTGCCATCTCGTGGTTGATGACAACTAATTCACCTGCCACAGTCGCTGATTCCGAAGATACCGAACCTTTTTTGGCTACGAATGGGTAGATGATCATATTTTAGTCGAGCTGGACGTCAATGATCGGCTACATCTCGCAGAAGCAACCCTACGGCATGCGCTGTTAGCCGTGCTGGGACCCCGATCAATAAATGAGGCCAAGTTCTCGAACTGGAGCACCGAACTCGTCGCCCTAGGTCTGCTCTGGAACACGGAAAAGTGAACAGTATCGGTGCCAGCTGACAAAATCGCTAAGGCGCTACAACGAGTAAATACGATGATTCAGCATCAAGCAGCTACAAAATTGGATCTACAAAAACTCCTAGGGTCGCTAAGACATGTGTCAACTTGCTTGCGGGCCTCCAAGCCATTTTACCAACAGCTGCAAGCACTTGCAGTCGCCGCACCACGGTTTGCAAAAGTAAAACTCTCCGCCGGGGCGAAGGCGGATCTACGATGGTTTCAAAACATCCTGGGTCATGGGAATTTCGCTGCGCTACCCCTGAGCATGTTCGGTGATCTTCCTTCATCCGATGTGGAACTGTAGATGGATGCATCAAACATGGGTTTGGCGATTCTGGACCCTGGCGCAAATAAATTTATCCAAGAAAAATTTGACGAGACCGAGACTCTTCTAATCGTCAACGATGACACGCATTTCAACAGCTTCTCCATTAATGTGCGGGGGCATCTGTGCATCGCATTGGCACTGTGGACCTGGGGTTCGTCGTGGTCGTGCAATTCGTCCGGCCAAATGCTTCACGTGAAGTGCTGGAGTGACAATATTTCAGCAGTGCAGTGGAGCAATCGAGTTTCTTCAAAGAATGAACTCAGCCAAGAAATCAACAGGGCAATTGGTCTAGCCGAAGCCTACTTCAACTTACGAGTACCGGTGGAGCATTTACCAGGGTCGACCAACACCATGGCAGACGCAGCATCGAGGGCCTGGACGGATCCTTATAAAACTGTATGGACTAATTTTTCTGTGTCGTGGGAACAGACAGCCGTGCCGCCAATCTTTCGCAAACTCTACACGAACTTCTCGAAGGACTTCAATCCCGCTCACTGGCCTCGTCATCAAACGTTAAATACTCAGCTACTTGGTCACAGTGGGTGCGATGGTGCACGGAAATGCGACTGCCTAAATGGTTACCCAAGGACGAAGAGCGCCATTCATATCAGCTCGCACTTTTCGCAATCTACTGCTGGAAATTCGGATGGAACTCGTCCGAAAGAGGCAACTCTACCTCCACCGTGCTCTCCAAACTCTGCCACATCTCGTGGTATCACAACCGCTTCGTCGGATACAAAGTCGGACTGTCCCCCGGACACCAGCTTGCTGTCGTCGGCATGCGCAGAGAAGACCCTCCAACCAACCCCAAGGCCCCCGTCACCATGCATCTCCTCGGAAAATTGCACAGCTCCCTCGATTTTTCCTGGGCCCAGCACCGAGTCATCTGGGGGGCTTCGGTGCTGGGCTTCTTCTTTCTTTTGCGCCGCTCCGAGTATCTAGCTGACGGCACGAGGGTAAAAGAATATGCTATTCAAAGGTCCGATGTACGCTTCCTGGATGATCAAGGCCGCGACCAAAAATTGATCGATCGAGTGAAAAAGGTTCAAATTCGTTTTCGAGGCAGCAAGACTGACCAGTTTGGCGATGGATGTACTCGTGTGCTGGGTCGGTCTGGTCGCGCCCAATGCTGCCCAGTAATGGCGTGCTGGTATCTCGTTCAGCATCACCTTTCCATTGGCGCGAAGGCGGACACTCTACTCAGCAAAGTTACGCGGACCCACAACTTACAAGTCCGAGACCTCGTCAGTGCTTTGAAACACGCAGCTGAACGCGTTGGGCACGAACCAGACAGTTACGGCTCCCACTCACTTCGTAGCGGAGGTGCCTCAGCACTCTTCAATGCGGGCTACGACAGCTTGGCCATCAAGCTTTTCGGGAGGTGGAGATCGGACGCCGTTGAGCGGTACACAAGAATGAGCTCACAACTAACAGCACGGATGGCGGGCGACATGATGGCCAAGGCAACATTGCAGCGTAATCAAGGGGCAACCTCCACGCCACACCCCGGCTGTGGAGGTGCTGCAATGTAATTTTCAACTTTTGTGCCGGGTTCGGCACGCCCCCAACAAGTAAGACGACGACGACGACTGAAAAACATCAATACCACGAAATGTGTTGAAGCCCGACTGACGCATGTGCTGCTTGAGCTCGACAAGCGCGCGGTTCATGATTTTGGTCAGCGTACACTTAGCCCAAACCTCTTCTCGTCGAGTACGTCGATCGCTGGCTTTAACTGTCGTATTGATCTCCGACCAGGCTGTCAGTGGGAGAATCTTAAACATCGGCCTGTCGCAGTTGGCTATCGTCTTGGGCCACACACTCTTGTAAAAATCACCGATCCATTGACACGCATGGACGGCAACAGGATTTTCGGTCGTGGCAACGGCATAGAATAGGATGAGCGTGCTGCATGATGTGGGGATCAAAGTAAGGCTTGATATTAAGAGATTAATATTACGAAGCAGCCGCGTGTTGGCACGCCTTAGGCGTGAACCCCATTGCGACGAGTGGTGCTCGTATCGCGAAATGCCAAGTCGCCGTTGCCTGCCATCATCGCTGCGAGTGGTGCTCCCAGTTCTTGCGTGTAGTGTGTGTAACTCTGAAATACGCTTGACTTCCACCTGCCGTGAAGTTTAATTGTTGTTGAATCTGCTCCACCGGCTATTAGCGCAGAGGCCCCGCCGCTGCGTAGCGAGTGACAGGATATTCGCTGCGGGTCGATTCCGGTGCCGATTGCAGCCGCTTTCAGGGCTTTGGACATTTCTTCTGCCTTGAGCATTCGGGACTTGCTGAACGAACATATCGGGTCGGTCGGCCTTAGACGGTGTCGACGGGCTAGTTCCAGCAGTAGTGAGGCTCCGATTACCGGACAGACCCTGCCATGTCCGTATCGTGATAAGTAGCGTGCGGATCCTTCGCCTCGCTTATCGGTCTTGCTTCCGCGGAGTGTTATTACCGCATGAACCGCGTCATCGAAGTTGACCGCAGGATTGCCTGTGATGTCAAGTACTTCGACGTCGCGGACCTCTAACGCGTACCGGTGCCTTCCCCCTTTGATCGCCAGATATTCGGAACTTCTTAGGAGATAGAAGAAACCCAGCAGCGCAGCCCCAAGAAATAGGCGTTGCTTGGGTTTCGTGTAGTCGATTTGGGCGGACATCCACTCGAGCATTGTACGAGTGACGGGAGATCGGGGTCGAGGAGGAGGGCTGATGCGTCGCTTTCCTGCGAACGCTGTGGCGTGGTTGGGGCTGATGACGGGTTCGAACCCGGCATAGACTTTATGATGCCATTTGACATGGCTAACTTGGGCGTGCACGGAGGAGGTGGATCCGACTCGTCCGTCTGAGCATGTAGGCGACCATCGATCGATGGCAAAAAAACACCAGTTGGAGAGACTGCGCGACTTGATCGTGCTCTGGTAGCCAGGGAGATCGGCCGATGCGCCGACTGATGGAGACCCATTGCTTCCATGTCGAGTCGTATTGTCGTCGGGACGTATCGGCAAGGGAGCGTTGTTGAAGGGCGACCAGCTGCCGTCGTAAGCCTTCCTCATGCTGTCGGGCACTTTGACCTGCATCCAATCATTGGTTAGTTTGTTCCAGAGTGTAATGTAAGTTGCGGGTCGGACCATGCGCGGGATCCCAGGTCGGCTAGGAAATTGGATGATCCGGCAAGATGTTCGGCTGATACCCGTATGCTCCATTCGGCTTCAACTGCTCCAAAAATTCGGTTCATCTCTTGTGATAACGGATTCGTGCTGGTTAGCTTGTTGCACCACGTCACTGCGGCGGCGTTGTCTATCCAAAATCGTACGTGTGTCAATGTGGTGCGGCTCGAGGATCGCCAGTGCTTGCCCCAGCACAGTACGGCTACTAGTGCGCTGAATTGTTCACGTACGTTTATACTCAGCCGACGTTGCTTGATGAGGTCTTGCTCGACGGGGTCAAATTGTAGGCGGATGAATTCGTGTCGTACGGGATTCAGAACGCACAGTCCGCTATCGCTAGCATCCATGTACAAGTGTACCGCCGGGGCAGGTAATCCACAAAATACTCGAGAGGTACCCCGCGTAGACGTCCAAATCGAAGAATATGGGCGAACCAGGCGAGATCAAGACGTGCTTCTAGAGTGAAGCTAATCGGCCGTACTCTTGGTGAGCGTTTCCATAGTGCCATTAACTGTTGGGAGAACGGTTTAGCCGGGCGGATGCAGGAGCAGACATGCCGTAGACTTCCCAGTAGCTTCGCTAGCGCAGTCCGCGTCGTCTGAGATGAGACTAGAACAGCTTCGACTGTCCCCAGAGCTTTTTGAAGTTTGGATACGGGCATTGATACCGTCACAGCGACGGAGTCCCATTCCAGACCCAGGGCCACTACGTTCGTCGACCACTCGGTGAACTTCTTGTTGTTGATAGCTCTTGAGCCTAGCACCGCCGTCATGGCTAGCCGAAGCGCGCTGTCACAGGCTTGGAGGCGATCATGGGTCTCGTACTCCACCAACACGTGATCGTCTACCCAGTCTAAACAAAAGAACGGGGTAGTGTCAGGATTGGTCGGATCGAGTGTGTTCGGGCTCTCGCGACGCACAAGGTGAGATATTGCTTTTCCAAACACACCATAGTGGGCTGCGGAGCCTGTCCAGCCGAAAGGTAGTACGAGATCGATGATCGTGACATCTTCGTCAGGTAACGAGCCGGCGAAGAAGGCGCTGACATCTTCGTGAACGTGTAGGTTTTTGTACGCAGATTTCACATCGCCTTTCATAATCTTGATTATCAGCGTTGGGTTGGCTTTCCGTAGTGCGATGATTCTGTGCGCGATGATGTCAACAAGTTCGTACACGAGCGTGGGTATTCTGTGTTGGTCGGACCAAGCATTTGTCGAGTGGCCCAGCGGAAACGATAAATCGTGAATTACTCTCGCTTCGACTGTTGGATCGGCGTCGGCCTTCTCGACACAACCAAATGGGCTGTAATGCAGGCGCCACAACGATGCCGCGTCTCGCGATTCAACGAGGTATGCACCGCTTCTCTGTCCATCTCGGATGCTTCTGATTAGCGCGTTGCGCATGACTGCCGCAGACTTGTGGTTTGGTACGGGGCAGGTTTGTTGAGTGCCATCAACTTGAAAGACGTATGAGCAGGTTGACGTGCTCGTACTCGTAAAGTAGCCACGGGAAGTGATCGTGGACCAGCGCTTTATTTGGTGTGGGCGATGACGCGGACTAGCCTCGCCAGAGACGAATCGTTTCCGCGAGGGTCATATTCGTGCGCGTCACGAGAAGCGAAATGGCTCGTACCATGTCGTGATCGAGCGAGAACGTTGGTCGTGGCCCGGTGTCATTCGCCGCTGGTATGCCGTGTGGTGGTTCGACGTCTGCTGCTTCAAAGGCTGCGAATAGCGATTGCTTGCGCGTTTTCTCTGACGCTTGTAGGCGCTGTTCTAGGAGCTCGATTACTCTTGATACCACAGACCGCGATCCCACCCCTGGGTGTGCGGCAAGTGTCGATGGCACTCGCAGGCTTCATTCCTGCTTCGCGAAGGTCCGAACGCCGCCATAGGTGTCCCGTATGTACGCCGCTACGGCTTCTGGTAGTTCGGCCGGCTCAAAATGTGCTAAAAAGCTCTGCAGGCACCGGTCCTTGCTCTTGGACGAACACCCTTGTACAGAAGCATACCGGAGGCAGAGCTGGCGGTCCGTCTTTCTTTGGAACTTGGGTCGAGATTTCCTGAGGTTCCTTACGGTCCCTACGCTTAACTCCTTGCCGAGCCACAGCGTCGTTTCCTCCTTTGTAAACCGCTCGGGTGATGTCCCGGGTAGGTGATGGACCATTAGTCCCGGACGCTTGGTTCGCGCGTGCACGTGAGGCCTTGAACAGTAATCCGGCCAGCTCGGGGTCTTGCATCGTGAATCGGAAACGGACCGAATGGCGCGTGCTATACCCCGATCGCATGTCTTCAACAACCGCAAGGCGATATGCTCCGATGATGTTGGAGAACCAGAACGCGAGAATGTGGACTTCGGACGAGCTCCACGGGGCAAAATCCTCCAGTTGTTCCCCGAAATCTTTAGCGGCCGCGAAGATGTCTCTTGTCTCCTCGTTGAAAAACTCTTTTGCAAACGTGTAAAGCACGGATAGAGCTTCGGTGAGGTCGCTGAACATGGGTTTATCAGGTAATTCGGGCAACGCCACTTTGCTGGAGAAATTGCGCATGTTGACCGCCTTAGCCTTTGATCGGTCGAGTTGGCTGTCGAGGGCGAACCGTGGGAAATGCAGGATGGATAAGTCGCACGCGCTGAACTCGATGTCGAACAGTCGGGAAGCGATAGCCGGATGAGCCAGAAACTTGGTTGCCGTTGAGGTCCGTACATGGTCCATGTAAACGTCTCCGTCCTTACCTATATATGCTGGTGCTGAGATGGCGTCGTGTACTTCTTGTTGGGCACGAGATGGGCGAAAATTCTGCTGTCGTCGATCACTTGGTTCGTTCACTGGGATCAGGTCTGACGGGGAAGGTGAAAGTCGAACTGCTTGCGATATTGGAGGCGGGTTCATTCCTGTCACTTGACTTGGAGATGTCGCTGGTGCCGATAATCGTTGCAGTTGTTGGGCGTAAGCTGCCAGTACGGAGCTAACGCGTGCAATATCGCTTGCACCGAGTCTGCGGTAGCGGGTTCAGCGCGCTAATCACCTTGGGCTGTGGTTACGTGGCCTACGGGTGTCGGCGGCGCCTGCTCAGTGTGCACTGTGCGTCGGCGTTTTGGCGCGGGATGATCGCTACTAAGCGCGTCCGGTAGATCTGCAAATCGCGTTGACGCAGCGCCTTCGTTGCTCGACTCTTCTTCGCCAGAAGAGGGCGAATCGACCACAGTTGGGTTTTCGGCGTGGACGGCTGCCGTGGAGATAGTCCGGCGAGTTCGCCGTGGTCGTTCCTGTCGAGTAGTGGCTGGGGGCATCGGGTCCTCATGGTTTGCGGTTACGCTGACCTGGTGTTCGCTTCTTGGCCTTCGCGACCCCTGCGCAGGGCGGGTGGCAGGGCCGTCGAGGAACGTTGCTCCGACGCGGGCGTTAGCGGGTATGGCCCGCCCGCCGTCTACGTAGAAGGCGAAGTTGAGGACGTCGACGACGCTGACTAGAAGCTCGTGACCCGTTCTGGGACATACCCACGCCACCATGGCCGATGGTCTGGGCATGGATTGGCGAGTGGCGATTCCTGCTGACAGTCTGGAAATGGCTTTGGTGGCCCGTTGGCCGTTCTGTCCGAGTAGGCGGTCCAGAATTAGCGCGTGGGCCGCTTCGAGATCGGACATCGAAGCAACGTCCTCAAGCAAGACCGCATTCCACAGTAGTACGGCCACAGCTGGAGCAATCTCGGTGGGGGCGCTGAACGAGACTTCATGGGTTTCTCCATCCGTGCTTACAACGTACACGGTGCTGTTGTAGGCCGTAATTTGACCGTGCCTGAACACGTCGCCAACGCGGTAGCAGACTGGGAGGAAAGTTTTCACTCCGGGTTGGCCTGTGCTGAGCTCCGACCTTGGAACTGATCTCGCCGCGGCCACGGCACGCGTGATTGTGGCCGAGGTGCTCTCCTCATCGTCCGAGCGGGGTAGAATGGTCACTTGGACTGTACCCCCACGTCTTGCTGTTACTTCTGCGTAGTGGGGGCCATCCAGCTGTGCGCTTGGTACATCCGCGGGGAAGAGTAGCACTGAGGTTCGAGACATGATTCGCGCGGCGATGAGGACTTGGAGCTGGTTGGTTGGCGACGGGAGAATTGAGAATGAGCTTGGGCGACTTCGACTAGTTGCTGGGTCGTCTCAAGTGTACTTTAAGCGCTGCTAGAGCACGACAAGAGTTGAAGACGACCTTGAACCCGATTGGTGCCTCTCACTCTTGAAAAACCTCTTTTCGCCTCCGTCCAAAAGCATCAGGATCCTTCGGCATGACGAAATCCAGATTGTCCTCGCACGGGTTGGCCATCGTACCGTCAACAAAATCCCAGTACTCGTGGCTTCCGCCTTCAAAGCTGGGCGACGAAATGCCAAGATGCGAGAGCGCCTTGTGCTTGATGCCGTTATTTGCTGCTGCGATCGAGAATGCAAACATCTTGGCGATCCACTCATTCGAAACCTGTCGAGTTCTGACACAGAGGTGGCAATAGTCATCGACCATGCGCAAGGCATCGCTTCGTGTCATGATGTAGGGTGGGCCGATATTGCCGTAGTATTCAGCGCCGTTCTCACGCGAAACATTGCCGCAGGGTAGACCACCACACACTTGTTTCAGCACATCAGCCTTGTCCTCCGCAAAGAAGCCGTCTTTAAGTGCATTCCAGTCCTGGGCAAGAGCAACACCATCGATGACTGCGTCATCCACAGTCGACGGGTCACGCCGTCCGTGGTAGAACTTGGACATATTCCTGCCCGGGTTCGCTTCGAGCGGCCGAAAGAAGAAAAAGTCTCCGTCAATGAGCGCGACCAGCTCGTGCTTCACCTCTGGAAACGTATGCTGGAGGAAAGGGCGCAACCCGAACGGCTTGTTGTACGCTGGGTAAGAGTCCTGCGCTCCTGGCTCCGGGTTGACTGCGAAACTCGGCGTGAAGTGGCGTCAGAAGTCGTAGTATAGCTTCGGTTCCGCCATCACACGAAGCCTGTCGCTTTCGGAACAGCCCGACAGAATCTGCGTGATAGGATCTTTTTGCCCGACCCCCGAGGCCGTGAGCTGCACCACTGTCTGCTGAAGAAGTCTATTGCGTTGGTCGCAACTCGCGCTGAAGACGATGTGCATGTTGCTTCCGTCGTGGTCGGCCGGAAACTTGGGCATCTCCTTGTCAGGAATAGGCGTCGCTGGCTGCTCTGTAGCATGCGTTGCAATAGCTTGGCTTGTGTTCGCAGTATCGGACAGTAGATCGCGGATTTCCTGGAACAGTTTATGATTCTGGGTCTGAATTTCAAGCGCCGCCATTTGGGATGGAACGCTGCTGCTCGCTTGCACTCTTGTCGTCGCGAATCCGTAGTAATTCAGCGCCGTCACGAGCACCACGAACGCGAGGCATAACGCGGCCTTGAGCGAGAGCAACACCCGTCGACTTGACGTCATCGTCGCGCGTGGAGTCTCGGAATGAGCTCTGATGTCAAAGCATTGCGTGAGTTCATGGCGCGCGGAGGCTATCGACTGCCACCCAAGAGGTTAGCCATATGGGATAAATGACTTATCTCATTGTGACTAGAGTAGAGTATGAAGGTGACATAGCCATTGCACGCTCAAATCCTATGACGAGCATACAAACATCAAGAATAGTTGGCTGGCTATATTCAACATGCGGACTGAGGCACTGAGAAGCACCGTAAAATCTGAGAAGCAAACACTTTGTGTATCTATTGCGGCATGTGCGTCGAACTTGTTAGGGCGTTCTGTAGAGAGGCTGACCGCTTTGAATTAATAGAGGAAAGTAATAAAGTTTCCAGCAGCTTCACTCAATAAAAAAACGACGAGCGTAGCTAGATTTTTGTACTAAGTAGTTCTCTTGTACGGATAGCACGGTGCGACGTGATTAGACCATGTAGAGTAATCCGTCGTAAACTACAGTGAGATTTACACTGTACTCCGAAGTTGCGTGCTATTTGTTTGTGACTCTTGAGCCCAAAGCGGTCCAGTACGCGTTGATCTCTTTCGCGACATGATGGCAGAGGATTCGACAACAATTAGCCAAGATTTCACTTCCTCTTCATCTGCGGCGTTGTCTGCATATTAATCAGCTTTTCTTTCTGGACCAGTTGGTACAGTAGTTTTTTTTGTCAATTTTATCCAGAATTTCCTGGTTCTAATTTCATACTTTATGTATTAGGAAAGGTTATTGATCAAGAGATACTCCAACCACTAGGTTGGACAGTTTTCGTCGACTGTATTGACTGTGAAAAACCCACTGCAGGAACAAACATCCGCATAAACTAGATAAAGACAGAAATGATAACGACTAGAACCTACCATAAAGAGATGTCATGCAAGATAGGGATTTTATTCAGGGACCCCTATATTGCATAAACGCTCTTTATGATAGGTTCGGGTAATAACCTGAATTAAAGTGTCCAACTCATGGGTTGGTACGAGTACGACTCGGAGACGGGTTACGACTACCATGAGCCTTCGTGGTTCTACGCGGTGGCGGTGGGGCGTACTACCGGTATCTTCACCAGCCACGGGGAGGCCGCAGCGCAGGTCCACGGCTATCCGAGCTTCCGAATGCGCAAGTTCAGCGACTACGAAGACGCCCGCGACTTTTTGGAGGAGTTTGACATTTTCTGCGAGAGTCTGACGGAGGACGGCAGTCAAGAACGAGACCGAGAAGAAGAAGGTCCGGAAGGAGGAGAAGATGGAGATGGCGACAGCTGGTTCTACGCGGTGGCGGTGGGGCGCTCTACGGGGATTTTTCTGGACTTTGAGGACGCCAGAGACCAAATTTATGGGTACCCGCGATCCAGGATGGAAAAGTTTCTGGACTACGATGAAGCAGAGGGGTATATTGAGAAGAACCAGCTTTTATACGAAGAAGAGGAGGAGAAAGAAGAAGATGAAGACGAGATGAAGGTGCCAGCAGTTTGGTTTTATGCGGTGGCGGTGGGGCGCTCGACGGGGGTCTACATGAACCATCAGGAGGCGATGGAGCAGGTGCACGGGTATTCGGGCTTCCGGATGAAGAAGTTCCGGGATTTTGGTGAGGCAGAAGAGTACATTGCGTTCAATCAAGTGTATTCCAGTGATGAAGAGGACGAAAGTGAAGCAGAAGCAGAAGTGGAGGAGGAGATCTGGTACTATGCCGTCGCGGTCGGGCGCACAACTGGGGTGTATACGGACTGGCAGGAGGCGATGGAGCAGGTGCGCGGCTACTCTGGCTTCCGGATGAAGAAGTTCTTGGACTACAGTGAAGCACAACAGTACATCGGGGAGAATCGTCTGTACTACGAGGAGGATGAAGAGGAGAAGAGCGATGATGAAGAAGAAGTGGAGCAGGAGGAAGTTTGGTATTATGCTGTAGCTGTCGGTCGGCGCATTGGGGTTTATACCAACCGCGGCGACGCACTGGACCAGGTGTATGAATACTCAGGATTTCGGATGAAAAAGTTCCTCGACTATAATGAAGCCTTGGGGTATGTTGCCGTCAATAGAGTATTGTTCTAGCGAGGAGTGGGAAGAGAGCGAAGAGGAGCAAGTTATGGAGAAGGAGGAGTGGTTCTACGCGGTCGCGGTTGGGCGCAACACGGGCATCTATACGAACAACGAAGAAGCGATCGAGCAAGTGCACGGCTATCCTGGTTTCCGAATGAAGAAGTTCCTCGACTACGATGAGGCGGAGGAGTATATCGACTTTAATCAGGTGTATTCCAGTGAGGGAGAGTGGGGAGCGAGAGTGAGCCGGAAGAGGAGTTCGAGACCTGGTATTACGCCGTGACAGTCGGACGCGACATAGGGGTGTACACGGACTGGCAAGTCGCTAGGGACCAAGTCTACGGTTACTCGGGCTTCCGCATGAAGAAGTTCTTGGATCTTAGTGAAGCATGGGAGTACGTCAGGTACAACAAAGGCTACTAAAATACTGCTACGATTACGACTTCGATATCAGCACGACTGCAGAGCGCACCATTACTGCATACTTTGCAAGTTCTCGGTACCGTTCTCCTGGATAAACAACGACGCTAGATCTGGACGAAACATTAGACGAGGTTCATTCCTCAAGTAGTCTTCAGCTACGTACTATACCAATAAAAAAACGTATGAGCTTAGCGTGGCGATAGTCAACTGGAGTTCCCGCTGGTCCACATGCATGCAATCTCGCCTATTCTTTTGCAATGCATTTCTTTATCGAACTGCAGCAGCAGGCTCTCGTTTTCTTGCGAAAATATATAGAACCTTCAGTTCTGAGAAGGAAAGTCACATATACGTTTTGAGGTAATGAGGTTGAAACCCCTCGGCATCACAGCTTCATCGATTCTTGGCTACAGATATTGGGGGGGGGGGGGGTTGCATCAATCATTGCTCAACATTTTTTTGATTGAAGTCGAAATGACAGTAAGGGACACGCTACCCCCTGTTCTTTCCGTCCCGCTCATTCCTCAACTATACGCCAGTATGGGAGGCGGGAACATAGCGAAGACGAAGACAGCCCCGCAACTCGAAGATGAAGTCACGAAGCTGGCGCGAACTCTAGACTTGGAGCAAGTGTCGGACGTGGATATTGATAAGGGCCTCGAGCTCATCGAAGACGTCCACAGATATTTGGAGCAGACGAATTTCAACAAGTGCAGACGTTGCATCGCCGTGCTCGGTACGACTGGAGTTGGCAAAAGCACGCTGGTATCACTGCTGTTTGGAGAAGGCAAACTGCTTGTCCACCACGAGAATGCGTATTCCCGCGTACTTGTAGCTGAGAAGTCATTTCCTGGGGTCGATATCCGCAGCGGCTCTGCTTCCAAGACGCTGCTGCCGGGCGTGATTCGTACCCGTATAAATGATGAAGATGTTGTGATATTCGATATGCCTGGTAGCCACGACACGCGTGGGCCGTTTGCTGAGCTCGTGGTGCATTCGATTCTGAAGTGGATGCTGGCGAAGCACGAGCAAATGAACTTTCTACTGGTGGCTACTACTCCTCAAGACGGATTGGACTGGGGGCGTAATTATTATGTGTTGCTAATCTACTGACGCATCTGTTGCAAGCAAATCAACGGAAAACCTGTTGCCCGTGTCGGGTTATCTGTTGCGGGTGTAGGGCTAAGCAACAGGTTTTCCGCGATGAAAATGCGCAACAGATAACAAGTAGAGTGTAGTCGGTATATGCGTTGTATCCATGAATGCTAATCGAAATGCAATTTGAGGCTGTGGCGGCAACAGAGTAGATACCTAAATATTTCGCTGCTCGTGTGCACGTATCAGTCCGGGCACCAAGTCGTCTACTTGGTAGTATTGCACGTCGCCGTGAACGAAGGCCACGCTCCACTCGAAAACCCCGTCTTCCTCCGACAGTCGAACACCGCCAACTGTACCAATACGATCTTCGCGAAAAGTAGAAGCTTGGCCTTCCTTTTGAACGTCAACTTGTGTAATGAAAGCCCACTGCAAAGGAGTGTAAGGCTCTTTGGTCAGAAGGGCTTCAAGCCGATCGGGATCCCAAAAGTTGGTAGATGCCGGCTCTTGTTGACGGGCTCCAACCGGTGCTCGAGGTCGGCCTGGAGACCTCCGTGCTTGGATAACTTCTGTTGCAAGCTCCAAATCTAGCTTTTTCAGCAGTTTGAGTGAGGCAATCACATGCGAGCAGACCCAGCCAGAGTGCATGTAACTCTTGCAGGTGCATCGGAGTGTATCTCGAACCATTTCAATCTGTTCAGGTGCCATCGTAAGATATTAGACTCAGAAACAATAAATTCAGATGGAACATGAATCTTACGTCGGATAAAGGCCAAGGAGGGCGAAGTTGAAACTCTGGCATCGCTCGTGCGCGCTCGACGTTGACCAACACCTGTTGCAATGAAAGAAACTTCGTCCAAATGTCAAAGATGGGCGCAGTCTTCCTGTACTACCTTCTAGCGACGAAACAAAGCTGTATATAATCATCAATTAGCATAATGAACCTGGTAGAAAGTAAACGCAATATTTAAACGTACGTTTTCGAGCGCGTGGTAGTGACCGTAGACCCAGCCAAGTTCTTCGAACGCACAATGGCGTTACCACTGTTGAATACGATTCGAACGGGAATGCCACGTTGGCCGGGCTCCGTTATTTCACGATGATTTTCTGGCAACGTCAGTAACAACTTGGCCTTAGAGACTGCATCCTTCGGCAAAAGGCCTGTGCAAATGTAATTTAGCAGCACGCGTTAGTATAATGTCAGAATTCAAAGCATGTATTTTACTCACATTCGCAGAAATGACCCTGAGGGCCGTCCGATAACGTATCCGAACCAAGAATTAAGAGTCTGGGCAGAGCAGAGTTTAATACGTGAATCGTCGGGGCCTTCTCAAAGGCTGTGATCACCTCTTTTATCACTTTGTGGTGGCTCTCAATGGCCTGCTGTGTTGGCAAGACTCCTGGTATCGGACTGCTGTTTACGCTCCACCGCTCCCATCGCGATGTGAGCTAAACATCTTCTAGCCACGCCGCATACGCGGTCTCTCCTTTTAACTTCCACCACCGCACAACGCACTTCGAGAGATTGCGAAATTGATTTAGGGAGCGCGTTTCGCGAAGCCACTTCAGCTGAGGAAGTGCGTACTTCTTGTAGAAGCTTTTGTCGACTAGCTTTGAGCGCTGCTTTCTGGCCTGCCCCAGAAGATGTTCCCAACAGGACAAAATGATCACTTCCGGCCAGACGGTCGCCAGCGCACGAGCTATAGCACTGCAGCAAGCTAAATTCACGTCAGCGTCAAGAAACATGCGTCCGTATTTAATGAGCGCACCGAACATTTGCTCGTATGCAAAAGTGCACTCCGACCGGACAAACATGTACAGCCAGGGCCGAAATCGCTTAACATGGTGAGTTGTCTCCCATTCAACAGAAATCCTACCGCAATCCACCAACGTCCAGTTGCCACAATGGAATTCGGTATGTGCCGTCCGTCGACATCGCAAGACTGCCTCTCTGAGTGGTTGTCGCTTTTGCCACGTTACGAAATAGCGCTCGCGAGGTCATGATTAAGCCGAGCGAAGCTTTCGTTTTTCCGTTGTCGTCAAAATTGTGCTGGAAGCGCTCGAGCACGAGCAACTCGTTCATTTTTGCGAAGTCTGACTCGTCGGCAGAGTCGAAAACTTCACGGGTTTGACACAATCGCGAGTGTGCCCAGATGTCAATTGTGTTGAAGTCGTCAATATCCCAGCCTTCCTCCATATTTTTCTTGATAGTCGCTTTTCTATTCTCGATCTTACGAACCTCAGGCACCAAATTCAAAAGGTCAGGATCGCGTCGATATTTGTGCAACAACATATTGCGTACTCGACTTGCTCCCATACCTAACTCCAATAGTGAGTCAATTTCAGACTTGTGAACAGCTGCAATACCATGCCGCGTGCGCGAGACAGAAGCATCACCGTGCTTCTGCAACAACTCGTATCGAACTAAGTTAGCTCCAAGTTTCCGCTTAACAATTTTGAGGCGGCTGGGGCACATAGCATGCGAGCGACATTTGAACTCAGTCCCAGTGACATTTTTGGAGGTGTACCGAGTTTTGTAGGTGTGTTCAAACTCGTTGTGCTGCTGTAGTGCCACGGTCGCCTCCTGTAGCGAATCGTAGAACCCCACCGACACATACTTCGCTACGGTAGCCTCCACCAACTCTAAAGCACCGCGATCTACACCCACGTTGATCTCAACTTCGTCGTCGTCCACAAAATCTAGCTGCTGGCAAATCGAGTCCAGTTGCTCATCCTCATCAGCGCTGTCACCAACGTTGTCCTCCACGGAGCGTGCGTTCCCCGTTGTAGCTGAGCTAGTGCAAGGCACGGCCGCGGAAGCGCTACCTTCCATGATGCCTCAGGCTGGAAAGTGAGACCTGGAGAAGACAACAGCTTTGTAACCACTGGACTACTGCGCATCTAAATATACACACAAAAATAAATTCCGATATGACTCGACGGATGAAGGGCATCACGTTGATAATGTAGTATCAGCATATCTTGGCCATTGAAATATACTACAACGCAAACACTCCGGCTGTCATTCGACTACATGGTGTAGTGCGATGTGACAGATAATCCAGGAGGCTCATTCATAGTATCTGTTGCGCATTTTCATCACGGAAAACCTAGTGCTTAGCTCCCCTACACCCGCAACAGATAACCCGACACGGGCAACAGGTTTTCCGTTGATTTGCTTACAACAGATGCGTCAGTAGATTAGCAACAGATAATAATATTCTCCCATTGGACTGGCAGATACGATCAACAGAGTGTACGATGGCAGCTCAAACGCAGTTCTGGTGTACATGAAATGTGATGCCGATTTCGAGCCGGGGAGTACGGCGTTCCTGGAGGGGATTACGCCTGACAAGCGCGAGATTCCAGCATTTGCCCTGATGAAACCTGCCAAATCGGACACAGAAGGCCACGATTACTCTGAAAGGTACCAGTCTGCTAAACATGCTATACTCGATCGGCTCGTAGCTCCGGTGTCGTCGCGTGACGTGTTTGAAGGATCCGTCCCCGAGTCAGCTCAGCTATTACTGCAGAGCTTTTGCAACCGGAGCATTGGGAAAGCACGCGATGCCATTTCTCGCGAGTTTGTTCGGATCTACCAACACGGCTACTTGCGACGTTCACTTGACGAAATCTCGGCTTTACTGGACGCTTTGGCGAGCCAAGAACCCCTCGACTTTACAGCTATGACTCAGCTACTCCAGCTTGTACTGCCTCGTTTGTGCCGCCTTCGGACAGGTAGTGCGCGCTCTGTTTCGAAAGCTGCGAACAGATTGGAACTAATGGAGCGATGGACTGGGAGACGTGTAATACTGTGCAAGGAAGAATGGCTGACGGAGCAGTGTCGGAACGTCTTGAAGGACGCTGAGAGTAGTCTCATCACGCTAAAAGAAAAGGTTTCCAACTATCGAGAAGTGGTGAAAAACAGAGAAACGAAGACAGTGGTGATTAGTGCGTGGCACTTGCACTTATCTGAAGAAGACATTGCGGATATCAAAGACTTCATGAGGATGGTGCACACACCTTCTGGCATTCCTACGGTCGTTTTAGTAGGATTCTCGCGGGTTACGATCGATATCCCTCTTCGTGTGTGGGCCAACGTGATAATTGTGAGTCCAATCGCTCGAATCAATGCCATCGATTTGTCGGCTGAAGGGAGCGCTCCGGCGCGAGTTCCTTCCCGTGCTGGGCCCGGCGAAGATGGCAAGCATGGTCGACCTGGTCTGTACGGTGGTAATTTCGTTCTAGTCTGTAAGACGCTCCTGAACGACGGTAACACTGTTGATCTCTTCAAGTCCACTGGACAGCAGGTGGCCCAGGTCAAAACGCTGGACGAGGGGTTGACGGAGTTGATGCTGTGAACAGTGTATCGAGCTTTAAAGCATCCGCTGAAGCGTTGGCTAGACAGTTAACCTCACTCGAGAAATGGGAGGCCGCATGCAATAAGCTACCGGGAGGAATCGAGCTTGAAAAGCGCTCAAAAGAGGAATTACCTCCGACTGATGACCATGTCATCCGTGCTGCGGCCGAAGCAGCGGTAGCTGGGGTGTCTATCGCCATCACTGTCGTGGCTCCGGAAGCAGGAGCTGCAGTTGGAGTTGCTGGGTGTGCGTTTGGCGGTAAGATGATACACTCAGCGTTCGGGAGAAATACGAAAACGGAGCTCAACCTGGTAAGGCACAGTGTGATGGGCGAGCGGGGGTCCCCCCCGGTTATCGAGGAAAAGGGGGGAGTGGAGGCCTCGGTGGGGAATTTTACGTCTTTGAATCTAGCAAAGAAAATCTAACGTGGCAGGGCGCACCAGGGTTTTTTGGCGAGCCAGGTAAGAAGGGGAAAGATTCATCACGTGGCAGATCAAGCAACACCGTGAGGGGAAGCATCCTTCACGAGTTCGACTCGGGTGGGCAACAAGTCGGGAAAGCAACGCTTAAAGTCACGGAGGAAGTGACTTCTTCGCCTTGCAAACGGAGTGAGAAGGTGTTCACGCCGAGAAGAAGACCGGCTCCGACTCCGAACCCACTGCTTCCTTTTGATGCTGCGAAGGTTCACTACGAAGAGGTTTTCAAGCAGTTAGTTGATGTATTTCCTCAGTGCGATTTTGCGGATATTGCTATGCCATGATGCGAGTTTGAAGCAAGGGATCGAGTGAGACTGGTTGAGTTACAAGCGGAAGAAAATAATAAAAAACGAGGGTCTTTTGCTGCTATTGTGAGCTATTGCATTTTGCTCTACTGCTTGGCAGCAAAAATAGTTTTCAAGTCCTACAACTCGATACGCACTAACCTGTTCGCATATTAGTTTTAAGATTGGGATCACGATGGAGACAGTAGCTCTGGAATGGATCAGCTCGCGGGAGGTGGAGCCTCGAGATGTCGTGCAGTTTGTGCAGCAGCTCAACAATGTCCCCGAGGAAGCCGTGTGTGAAGTTGGCGACATATTCTCGCGCCGATGCCGTGTGAGCTTTGGGAACGAGGACGGACGTCCAATTCGAAACGAAGTCCATCTGAGCTGTGAGCCGCGGGTTGCTGACTTTCTGTGCAAGAAGTTCGGGTAGGGCGAATACTCATTTCATTCGACAGACGAGGTTGTTCTGATTGCGTTGATCGTGTAGCAAGCAGACGCAACACGTTACTGGTGGTGAAATCATTCGCGTAAGATGCAAGCGCGTATATCCAGGTACGGTAAAACCTCTCTACCCCCTACATAAATATCTGTCATGCATTTACCCACATATTGAACTGTAGGTGTCAAGCCACTCGGAAAACTAGTTGCAGCTTCAGAAAAACAACATGCACAAGCCAGAAGCGGGCGCGAGCATGGCGGAGAAGAGATTGTAGATGATCCGACTATGCAGCGAGCGGTGAGGGTGAAAAATGACTTTATACCAGTCATTCAAACCCAACTCCACTAATTAAATCCGTGTTGATCAGGACGATAAAGCTCCAGCGCCTGTACTACCGATGGAAAAGGTGATCGCTCTGATCGACCTCGTCGGGGATCAAGTCGTCGATGCGCAAGAAGCGTACGAGCTATTTGCCGACGCTGATGCCCGTCCACCTCATCGAATGACGATGCTGGGTCTCACCAAAGCGCTCGATAAACTCTCGTACGTGCTAAATGACGTTCATTCAAAGCAGTGTTGGGCTTGGGCTGTACTGACACTTGTTGCAGCTCAAAGGACTGGACAGCGAAGGCTACCGCAGCGAAGATCACAGTTGAAAGTCTCCGGTATTTGCTGACGAAGCTGATCCAGAGCAGCAATGTCGCTGTGAGGCGTATCCCTTCAGCTACCACCACTCCCTTCCTCTCGTATACAGACTTCTTAGCATGCTACGTGGCGTATCTGGCCAGCCTCCACTCTTCAACATAAGACGCACCAGTTCACAAGAAGAGCCTAAGTTTAAGCAGAACTATATCTAGGCGTTGAGCACCTCCATCTAATTCAAGGCTCGTTCCTCCTCTCGACGGATTTAGCCTTCACACGACGGAACACTCGCCCACCTCAACGTTCCTTTCCCCCATAATTCGAGTTGTCAAGCCGCAAGCTTCTAGAACCCGAGAACGACCATGAGTCTGCTCTCCTCTGCGTCAAAGATGCCATCGTCCAGCGAGGGTGGCGTCAAGATCAAGCGGAAGAGTCGACGCCGTCGTACCAGCTCCCCAGGAACGCGTTCACCGGAAGAGCCCGAGCGCCCTCAGATCGAGTTCGAACCTCCTCAAGAGCGCTCGCGTGGTAGTCGACGACTCCACCGTGATGTTCTGAACGATGACGGTTCTACCACCAGCAGCAGACGTAGAACGAGTGTCGCGAGCTCTACCACTGAAGGAAGCAGCAGCCGACGCACGCCAACGCACTCGCACCATCGCCACGCTACGCTTAGTGGGGCTTCTCCATCGTTAGCTGCAAAGCGACGACCAGAACAACCCGTAGACGCGAGTATGATAGCTCGAAGGACCTTGACGTCGTCCGCGTCCTCCATTCGACCCTCCAACCGTAAGCGTCTGGACGACCAAATTGCTCCGGTAGATCCTTCGTATCGCATTGGTGGGCGTCAACGCAGCAGCAGCAGCAACAACAACAACAACGCCGAATTCGACGAAGACGAGCACCGCAACCTAACTTTCGGCAAACTCGGAGCTGGGCCCGAGAGCTTCTCAATCCCAGGCCAGGAAGACTGGTTGGGTGGCGTCAGCAACAACAACGCTCATGCTGCTACGCGCATCACGCTGCCTTCTCGCGCCAGCAAGTACCGAAATTTGTCCGCCGGAGTGAACAAAAAGTCGCGAGCGCGTGCTCCTGCAGTTCCAGGTAAGGACCTGACGGACCGTCCGCCCTCCCGTCAGCGTCACGCCTTCCCAACGCACCTCATAGACGCCAACGCATTCGACGCTCCAGAGACGACTGGAAGACGCGGAGGCAGCTCGAGCTCTAGCACCAGCAGCTCTCGAAGTAGGAGCGATACGTCTTCTCCCCCTGACGGCGTCACTGGCGACCGCCCACCGTCGAGATACATGGTCAAGGTTAAGCGCAACAGTAAACAGGGATTGACTCAAGACCCAAGCGCTCCGTCAAGACGCGGTGTAGTCGACAAGACCTCGGGGTTCTCGTGTAACCAGGCGCACCATGACCCAAAGACCGACGGGTTCGCAGACGTGGACGAGAGCGTGCCCCCTCCATTCAGGATCGAAGTCACGACGGATGCCAGTGAAACAACGCTGGATTCGCCAGCTGAGTCTCGCTCCACCCCTCCTTCAGGGTTGAATCCGACCAAAAATGCTCGACGCTGGCCATTCAGCAACCAGGAGCAGCTCTTGCGTATGGCTGTGAGGGGCTCGGACGGGAGTCGGGGCAGTGATCAGGCCATGTCGGCGGACCTTGATGCTGGACAGAGCCCTCTCCAGTGGTTTGGCAAAGACGACCAGATCAACAACGCGCACTTGTTCGAGACGATCATCTCGCTACCAAGTCCCCGACCTGCACTGGAATCCGACGTGGACGTAGCGATTGAGGACGATCTGGAGGACAGCGATGGACCGCAATACCACAGCCGCAGAGTCATCAGCAAGCAGCAACAGCCTCAACACGAGCCACACCAGCCCATTGAGAACCACTTTCCTTCCCGCCGAGCTGCTGCAGCATCAAAGCTCACTGCTCCGACTACCACAATCGCTGTGGGGGATAAGCCCGAGCAGTGGATCCGTTCGAGCACCAACCCCTTCTTCGTGGGCTCTTCATCGACCGTCGACTACGACTCAATGGACCCGGATACTGCGATCGAGCAGACGCCGCTCTACTCGTCCGAGGATCTCATGACTCTAGCTGCGACCGAGATGACGGACCTCCACTTGGACGACTACACGGCGTTAGGAGATGCGTCCATGCCAGCTCCGCCCCCTTCGACCTCGGGTATGGGGTGGGGCGGCTCGAGACTTCTACCGGCGTCTCGCTCTCCGCCACTGAGGACTTCTCTAGGCAAGGACTTCCTCAGCCTCTTCGCTCAACACTAATAACATTTAATTTTCACGGTCTTGAGTGCCGTCCCTCCACAGCTTGGAGATACGTGAGTGTACTCATTAAAGTCGCTCCAAAGACCGACAAGAACAGGACGCACCCGACACAACAGCACATGATCGACAGACGGATGCACATTTTCGGCCCCACCAGCACCTTGATCATAGCCATCGGATTAGCTGTGAACCTCATCCGTCCGACTGGAGGGGGCAAGTACGGATTGAGATTGGGCGCGTTCTGGCCTTTACCCACTGGAGACGCCAACGCCTCGTCCTCTGGAACAATCTGCACCGAGATCCCAATACGCCCCATTTCCATCGACACGGCAGCTTCGCGGTCAGTGAAGTAGATTGGGATCCACTCGGCGTCGTCAGGGAGGCGACCGAGCCCCATGAAGTCCAACAGACCATTGAGCGCTGCCTCGGCTTCAGCTTCGTCTTTCTGAGCTTTAGCGAGTTTACGCTCCGCTGGTGAAGGCTCTTTCTTCTTGGACAAGCCACGTATTGCAAGCTTTCGTTTCTTTCGCGTAGACTTCTTTGGACTTTGACCCAGAAGAGCGTTATCTTCACGAGGTGTTAACTTGGTGCCAGTGTTGTTCTCGTCTTCACTTGAGTCATCCTCGTTCTCACTGGTATCTTCGTCATGGCCAGCTTTTTGTGAGCCTGGGAAGCCATCACCGGCTAGAACGGGCTGTCGAGCAAGACGCTTGAGCTCTAGGAATGGCGCCACTGAGCGATTCGTCTCGTACGCACGACGCAGCCACTTGTACAGGTCGAGCTGAGCCTCTCCCAGTACGTCGTTCCACTTGAGCACGTCCTTATCCCAGAGCTGGATGTGCAGTCGCGCTAGCTCGGGTGAGCGTGGGGGGAACTCGGTCTTCATTATCAACCGCCAGTTCCAGCACGGCCTGCCATTAGAACAGCGCCAATGCGTGTCGGTACTCTCCGCTCGACTGCTGCCAGAGTCCCCTCCACTCTCCATCCAGGCCTTCACAAAGTAGTCGTTGATCTCGCTCTGAGCTTGATCCTGAACGTTCTCCGCACGCCAAATCACGACTCGAACCTCGAACGTCTTCGGCGCTGGGGGTGAAATGTCCACAGGTTCTACGCGTACTGCCTCCTGCGTGGTTAGAATATCCACCCAGAGCTGCAAGAAGCCTTGTGATGTAGTGCGGCTTTGAGGCACGTACAGATGCCGGTACTCAATAGGCTTCAGATGGGAATTATTATTCTTCCCGGTAGAATGCCCTTCTCCGATCTCTTGCCATTCTCGATGGAACCAACGCTCCTCCAGGTCAATCGTCGTGGATCCGATCAACTGATCCATAAGTCCACGACCCCAGACCCCAATTTCCAGCTGAGAGGCGCCAGGGAGAGTCGTCTCAAGCTCAAACATGCGAAAGAATTCCGGCTGTAAAGTGTTCGTACACGCGTTCGACCGATCGTTGGTGCGGTTGCCTCCCAACTTCAGCCGTAGGTATGGATCTGAGTATCCGTTCGAGTTTTTGGCTTGTAAATTCTGCCCACGCAGCACATAAACTCGTACGATGACCGGTTGGGGGCCATCTTGGAGGCGACGAAGCTCCAGAAACTCCTGCTTAGCCCGCTCCTCCTCCTGCGAACGTACTTCCTTCTTGGCTCTCCGCTCTATCACAGCGATTCTTCCTTTGAAAATACCAGCGCGCAGTTGTACTCGAACTCTCTGGAAACTCAGTAAACTTGGTCGGGATAGCACTGGTCGCTTCAGCTGATAGGATTCCAGTGCTGGACTGGTGAAGTAGTTCTCAAGCTCTTCCCCGCCGTATTCAGAGATCCACCAGTCCCTTCCTCGAAGATAAGGAGCGCGGTGGAGCTCCTGCTTACGAGAGCTGCGAGGAGAGCCTAACAAGGACCCCCTCCGCTCCCCACGACTCCGATGAGCGAGTAGTAGAGCAGACTTCCCGGCGTTGTACCTTCGCTGTTCTTCTCTTCGGCGCTGCTCGATTAGAGCAGGATCCGTATCGTCCAGAGTGTTGACGGTGCTAACTCGTGCGTGCGAGTACAAAACGGAGGGTAAATTGAGGTCTCCAACGCCAATTCCATCGTCAATCGGGTACTCCTTCTCAGCTTCGGGCTGGCCTTCATCGAGTAAATAATCCATCGGGTCCTCTTCATCCGCCGGCTTCTCTTCAGTTTCTTCATCGTTCTCCTCCGCCCGCTTCTTCTTCTTCTTGCCTTTCTTCTGGCTCTTCAGGAGACTTTTACCCTTTGACGGACTTCGGAATGGAGAGCTCGATCCGTCTGCAATCTCGGTACGATACGTCGGACTCCACGGCAGTTTGTTCGCCAGATCCACGATACACGAAGCCAGCGTCGTCTTGCGAAATCCACCGAGGGTTGAGTCACACACTCGAATCTGCAGTTGAGGGGCGTATAAAGTATCGATCGGTAGCTTCACGTGCGCCACGATTCGATCCAAAAAGTTGGCATTCTTGCTGCTTCCCGAGGTACCAGAACCCGATGGCATCCCGGATTGAGTGCGTTTTACACTCGATCCATCCACGAAATAACCCCCTACCAGCTCAAACTCGACGTGTGGACGGCGGACCCCCAATGTACTGAGAGCTTTCAAGTGTCTGACACCCAGCGCGACGATGTCGAGGTTCGCCTCGGTGTACATTGGAGTGATCGGTGCTGGCTGGCGGAGAACGGCAGGCGGAACGGTGCCTGCGTGGTCGATGTACTGGATTGCAACCAGCAATTGACCCACTGATCCCCCGCCGCCAGCTTGTTCCGACAGCAGCAGACTCACTGAGATCGATGAGCTACTTCGAGGCCGCTTGAGTTCGTACCACCGAGGCTTTGGAGATCCAGCGGTAGCAACCGATCGCACGGCTGAAGCTAGAGATAACCGTAATTCTCCTAGAAGTCCAGCCGCTCCACTACCTCCGACTGAGTCTTGTACCTGTAGGACGATCTCTGGCGTGTAGATCACGTCCGTGGCTGGTACATTCGTCAAGAAGACGAGAGACTCGTAGAATAACGGCGCTGGGGTGCTTTGGCGCACCATCGTGCGCTTCAACTGGCCACAACATCGAACTTCCACTACGGGACTTGGAACACGCGTGATGCCAGCTGGAGACTCAAGTCCTCGAGCTTGGAAAACGTGGACACGGATCTCTCGATGCCCTTTTGGGAAGCGGAACGGATCGAATAGCTCAGTGGTGTCGCCTTCGTTGACCCATGGGTGCCGTGTAGCCATCTCCACGCGACCGAAGCCTAAGCGCAGTAGAAGAGCCCCAGGGTTTTGCGATCGTTCAAGGGCGTATCTCGTCTGTCGTCTTGCTAGTTCTTCGCGTAGCACCACCCACTGACATTTCCCAGTAAATCCACGGGCAAATAATTCCTCAGCTCGGAATCGAGCAAAACTGACGCTGACAAACTCCTCCTTGCGACTTGTTGCCGCTGCTACGCCACCCACAGCTCGGCTCAGTGTGACGATGACATCTGGAATTTGGGTCAAATCTGCAGGTAATTCCAACGCTGAGCGGTGCTCCATACACTGCTCAAACGTAGCAGTGCCGTCTTTCGCCACTTCTTGACTCTCGAAGACAATCGAGTACGGACCTAGAGAGATCATGACGCGAACTTGTGACGTACCGCCAGCTAGAGACGGTAGAGTACTTCTCGGTAACTCCACGCCACAAAATAGAGCACCTCGCAGCATATATTTGACCGTCTTGGGGGTGCTGCGTTCATATCGTTGACGCTCTGCAGCGGCCATAGGTTTTGTGTGCATCTTTTCACCTGCTTCAGGAGGTGGGGACTCAACTCGAACCATCGACACGAGGACTCGTCCGCGATACGTCGAGCCGAGCTCTGCGTGACGAGACACAAGTCGCTGGCGCTTTTGGTTTGTACCGCGTAGCGGAGGTCCGTACAGATTGTACCATCGAGGAGCTGCAGCCAGGAGCTGCTGCTGCTCCTGTTCAATCTCAATCTTCTCCCGGATCGCAGCCTCACTGAGGTCTCCTTCCAAGCCAATGCCTTCATCTTCATCGCCATCTCCCAGCATTAGACTCACTTTCTGTGGACTGGTAGGCGCTGGTTCCTCCTCGACTGGAGCTGCTGGTACTTGGAGGAAATCATGCGACGCCACTCCGACCAATTCATTTGGAGACGTGAGGTCTCGATCCCATATTGAAAGCCCGATGTGCCTCGAGAACGTCGGAGTACGCACTGGCAGCCACAATTCCTCGTAAAAATCTGGAGAGAGATTCCCTCGCCCCTTTACAGTAACACACGAGGTTTTACACGGTGTGTTCGCGGCGAAAACCACTTGTACGAACGCGTCAATCCCCTGAGCTCCGATCAATAACCCGCCAGTGTCCATAGCAGGCAAGTGCTCAGCTCGTAGCACCCGCACAACCAGAAAGTTCAACTTGAGCTCGATAGCTGGAGGCACCAACACAAGAGGCGTCGGCGCGACTGTGCTGCTGCCGTCTACTGGGGGTTCGCCTGTGACTTCTGCTAGCTCCTGTTCGATCTCAGCTTCTCGGTCGTGAACACGCAGCGCGTCGCCAGGTCCCAGCACCACGACACTAACAAGGAGGAATCCCTGGATACCTCGGTCCTTTTTGCTCAAATTGTCGTGAACAGCGATCCACTGGCGGTAAAGTTCGTGATCCGGCTAGACAACAGAAAGCCGAGTTAGCTAGGAAGGTAATGGATTCAAACTGGGGAAGAATCACGCACCTGGGCGTATACGGAGAGACAGTCGAGTTGGTAAATGCCGATAAGGTTGTCCTTGAGAACGCGCTCCTTGTCGTAGACTGAGATCTAACCACCCAGGAGGAAAACCAAAGAGTGTAAGTATGTCCCTAGCGCGTGATAAACGCTCAACTTACCTTGATTGATGCCTCTCGTAGCTCATGACGACCAATGTTTGGGAAGTTGAAGAATAAAATCTCGTCGAAGATGCAGCCCAGCGTACTGTACTTCGTCGATGTCTTCTTCGTCACATCCAGAATCTCCACTTGACAGTACGGATCCGACGTCCCGCTCAGCTACAGACATGGCAGTAACGATCCAGTCATTAGCTCGTTCAACCCCAGTTCCAGTCAAATACAAGCAAACCACGTACGTTCTCCCCCTTGAGGTCTCGTGCCTCAATGACATGCACCTGCACTTGGTAGTCGCCCTGTTTCAACGTAGCAATCGCGGCCGCTGCCTCTCGTTCCCACTCTTCTCTCCGCATCAGCGCCTTCGTACGAGCGTTCGCTTCCTCCGCCGTCTCGTCCTCCTGACCGACCAGCAACTCGGCCAGACCCGCTCCCTTCTCCAGCTCCACAGCTGCCGGCCCTCTCTCGAACAGCCCTTGGTCGTTGGCTTTCGTATACACCAGCGCCACCTTCAGCTCCAGCTCCGCCCCCGTGAGCTGGCCAGTCACCCCCTTGTCCCTCAGCTGGAACCAGCGCTGCGTGATCATCCCTGGGAGACTGGCGATCTCGGCCGACGAGATAACCACCTGGCCCAGGAAGTGCATCTTGAGCGGCAGTCGGTCTCGGACGGAGACCGTGACGCCCGTGGCCCAGTCAACCGCTCGGAAGACGAACACCTCGTGCCATCTCGGCTCTCGGGTCTTGGTCATGACGCTCGTCTTGTACTCGACACCCAGCGACGTCAGCTTGACGTAGCAGCTCAGCGTGTCTCGCAGGGCAGAAGGCGTGAGGTTGCGCGCTTGCAGGACGGTGATCGCCATGGTGTTGGGCAGCGTGTCGTCTGGATGTGAAGGCATAATAAGGAGAAAGAGGTGAGGCTCTAGACGAGTTAATTGAGGGTAGCAGGTGGCCAGTCGTACCTGCGTCTTCGGCGAGGCGAACCTCCTTCGGAAGGATGTCGACGGGGGCGTCTTCGGCTTCCTCGACATCGCTGCGGTTGCTGCCCATGGACGCCGACCTGGAACGCGCCATGACTGGCGGGATCAAGTTAACTTGGTACTATGGGATCCGATGCGTATCTTTGAGGGGTCAGGGATATCAAGAGAGATGATGACCTTTCGAGAACGTGCGGTGGAGGACACTTCAACGTGGACGACCAATCAACGACCAACTTGTTCAAGTGAAATGCAACATGAAGAACTGGAAAAGAAATCAAAGAGTTTGTCATGGAGCAACCTACTCCCATTTGACCATCAGATCGCTGAAGTCGCAGTTGCAGAACGCGGACGCCAGCTGCGAATGGTGCCCTTCGTACGTGGTTCTCACAAACCCAAGACCAAGACCCGTGTTGTCGAATGCCCCCGCTCCTTCCCCCATTGCAGGCTTCGCGTGGATGAACTTCGATTGGTCTTCGAGAGGAACGGGCTCAGCAATGGCTTTGATCTTTGGCGTCGGCCAAGGGCTGCTGAACCATCCGCCTCTATAGTACCATTGCTGGATCGTAGCAGTAAAGCGCGGGCTACTGAAGCCATCGCGAGACACCGCTCCTCCTATGCCATCGAGACCTTGATGACCACCAACCAAGCCAGCTCCTCCCCAAACATCCCGAGCCGAGCGAATAACGATCACGCCTCCTTTACCGCCAAACCCTCCTCGACCACCACTTCCAGCAGGGTTTCGCAGGCTCCCAACGTCGGATTCCCTTGTAATGGTAAGATCCTTCCTCCCCGGGGACCCATAGAATATTCCACCGAGCGGAGAATCAACTTCTTCGAATCGAATCAAGCGAAGGCCTCCCTCCAGATTCCTGGGCAGCTCCTTGTCGGTCTCGAAGAGCAGTCCTCGGTCGATTTCAGCGTTGATCGCGTCCAAGAATGCGTTCTTGTCGTACCTCGAGTCGGCGCCACTGATCCCGTCACCGCCGTGTTGGGCATCGCCCCCACGTTGGCCAGAAGAGAGACTAGCGCGCAGCATTTGCTTCTCGTCTGTGAGGTTGTCGCAAACCACGGCCAAGTTTCCGCCAGGAAGCCCCGGTTCGCCATGAATACCGTCTTGCCCAGCCACATCATTGCACTTCTCAGCACTCGGCGCTTGGCCTACTGCAGATAAATCGAAGACACGCTCGGTAGTCACTTGGATTGACGGACTCACAAGCGCCACGTTTGCCCACATTTCCAGCCCCAAATCCACTTCAAGAGAGGCGAAGCCGATGAGAATCACGTTGGGGATCGTGTCGACGCCATCAATCGCCATTTCGCGCTTCTTCACGAACTTTTCGATCGCAGCTTGCTCTTCAGACAAACGCAGGTGGAATGCGCTGATTACCAGTGTGTGGGTATACCGGAACACTTCTCCGAGCGGTGGTAAGCCTTCACGTCATTCCTTAGCCCCACGAGCTTCTCTTTGGCGTTCTCCAGCGCCGAGATGGCGTCGGGACTGAGAATTGCAGTGTTCTTCACGGCCATTCAGGACGCTCAAGGTGGCTAAGTGTTTGCTGGCTATGAGAAATTCTTCGTCGAATCGGACTTGGTTTCCGTTGGGGACGAGTCTTGTTACGGTATCTACTACGGTCTGTAGCGATATCCGTCCACTGCACTGGAGGGCTTCAAGCGTCAAAGTGACCTCGTCATATGTCCCGAAGTAAGCTCCCCACTCATACGCCATCAGGAAAAGAGTCGAAAGAGTGTCTTGAACCCATTGGATGCTAGCTCTGGTGATCTGCTCCAACAGAAGGACCGCCGCGTCAGGTAAGGGGTTGTTGTACTCCACTTGGTGAGAACAAAGGTTGTCCAATTCCGCCAAAATGTCTTTCTTCGCCGTCTAGTACTCCATGGAATAGTCGTGTCCATCAGGGTTGGCTTCGACTGGCGCGGGTAAGGTAAATACACATACATTCCGCTTGTTTTTATCGAGATCGAGGTCAAGATCAGCTGTAGCTCGTGGCCCGAAGTCGACTGGACACTTGGTGCAAACAACCACCGCATTATCCTCTCGAATGAGTGAGCCATTAATCAACTTCTCAAGCGTAACCCTCTGGTGACGTTCATGCGATGGTGCGCTCACTAACAGGAAGCGTGTGTCTTGTACATTCTTCAGTATCCAGTGGTAAATAAAATGCACCACAAGTTCCGCAAATGGACCACGTGTATCGTGGCTTCCTGGCATATCCCACACAAAAATTGGGCCGGAACGGAGTCGGACCTGACTCACAACTGGCAAAAGAGTCGACGAAGTAGCTCCACTACGGATTTCAACGCCTGGCAAGGGCGAGTCCGCAACAAGAACGCGCGAAAGTCTTCCTTCATGGCGGACAGCAATCCGCCCTGGTGCAAATAGGAAGGACACAACAGTGCTCTTCCCCGCTCCAGATGCCCCGAGCACGACGACGTTTATCTTGGACTTTAACCCGCTTTCAGCTATGGAGTGCCTCCACCTCCTTGAGCAGATCCAACGCCTTGTAGATGTCCTCCTCCTGGGGCGAATCACTGTCTTCGGCTAAGCGGGCAGACAGGTGCCTAATGTCTTGTTCGATATCCTCGCGCTCACGCACCATACTAGCTCTTGGCGTTGTCACTAGCTGGCGAAATTCCAAGTGAAATGGTTAGTTAGGGTGACCATGCGTGGTCTTTATCCATCTTTTTGTTTGACGTTCAAGTTCTGCTGACCAACGGGATTCACGTTATTCCAAGAAAGTTCGGCAATCTGTAAATTCCAACGCGACAGTTGCAAGCAGTACACAGCATTAAACTCTTTAGAAAGCAATTTTTAAATCGATTAAAATCGTAAAATAAAACCAAAAAGGACTGCCATGCTCTTCAAAGTTCATGTGTCTCACGCTTGCGAGGTGCTGCTCGCCTCTGCAGTATCCCACACTGACTTAAGATTGGTGAAATCGCACCGGCGAAACTTGGCTTCAAGATGCTTGGGTACCAGTTCATAATTCTCCTTCACAAAACGGGAGCCCAAGACTGGAATTGTCGACCGGACTCGTGGCTCTCCCGGTCGCGGAATCTGCATACATCAGCTGCGGTGTAGCAATCGGAGTAGGTGGCTCGAGGCGAACTTCCGGTTTCGATGTCGTGCCATGGTACCAACCACGCTCAAAGTACCACTGACGCTCCACAGCAGAAAAGCTGGGGCTTGCACGACCGTTTCGCGATGGCTGTCCGGAGACTCCATAAGAGCCTCGTTCTCCCAAGTCGCCAGCTCCTTTCCACACCTCAGCACCTTCCTTGATCCGAAGTTTGCCACCTTTTCCACCGTAACCTCCGATTCCTCCAGACCCAGGCGGTGTTCCGGGAGCGCCGGAAATTGATTCTTGACAAGAGTCCATTCTTTAAGTCCTTGGGGGCCGTAGAAGCGTCCAGCTAACGGGGAGATCCGATTCTCGTACGAAGTAATTTGTAGTCCGTTGACGACGCCTTTTTCCTCATCCAAAAGACCGCGTTGCGTTGCACGTTTAACTTCACTTTCGAAGTCCCTGGCCGAATACTTTGAGTCTGCACCGCTCACTCCATCACCGCCATTTTGCGCATTGCCTCCTTGTTGACCTTGACAAGTTGTGGTGCGCAGCTTGTGCTCGGCATCTTCCTGGTTGCTGCAGAACACATGAAGATTCCCGCCAGGAAGCCCCGGCAAGCCGTGTCTTCCATCCACCGCGCGATTGTATTTGTATAATGGCACGTTGTCAGCTTGGCCCACGGCTGATAAAACGAATGGCTTTGTCAGCATCACACGTACAGACGGACTAACCAGAGCAACATTTGCCCACATCTCCAACGGCGAATCCACAATGAGCGAAGCAAAACCCACCAACACCACCACTGGTATAAGTAGCTCGGACTGAAGAAACAGAGCGCCACCGCTTCGTGACAAAATTCTCGATAGTTTGCTTCACGTCCGATAGGCGCAGATGGTACGCACTGACAACCAACAGGTCGGCAGCAGGATACGCTGCTGTACGCTTGTCAACGCGAAGGTACCCCTTGATATCACGGATCAGCGCAGATAATTTCTCTTTAGCACCTTCAATCGTCAAGAAGCACTCCTGATTCAGCCATGCTCAAACGACAGCGGATCTGACTCCCAACCAAGATTCCCACATGATGCAGCCGTCTGCTAGCCTGGGTAATGTCATCATCGCTGTGAACGTGGCCATCTTTCGTTGGAATCAGTCGACTAATGAGAACGAGCACAGCTTCGAGCGACAATTTCTCCGTCGTCTTCAATGCATCGAGGGTATTTTCCATCTCGTCCAGCGATCCACGGTACGCCTTCCAGTCGTACACCTTCAAAAAGCATTTTGAGATTTTATCTCGAGCGAACGCGACGCTGCTCTCCTTGAACTTGTCGAGCAAGCGCTGAGCGGCGTCAGGCAGCGGATCCTCAAAATTCACCGAATCCGAGCGCAGTTTCGTCAACGCAGTCAAGATTTCGCTCTTCTCCTCTTGGTATTGCGCCGAATAGTCGTGTCCTTCCTCGTCGGATTGCACTGGCGCAGGCAGCGCGAACGACTGGATGCTGCGCTTGTCTCCTTGATCTTGAGGTCGACCGTGCTGCCAGGATCAAAGTCCCAGCTGCACTTTGTGTACACGATCACTGCATTTTCAGGACGAATGAGCGACCCATTGATCGTATTCTGGAGGGAGGCGATCTGCGGGTGCTCGTGCAGTGGCGGACTCACGATGATAAAGCGCAGCGTCTTGTCGTCGACCAGCATCCACTTGAAGATAAAGTGCACGAGCAGCTCCACAAACGGGCCTCTCGTGTCTCGACTGCCGGGCATATCCCAGGCGGCAATCACCTCTTCGCCAAGCTTAACGTGGTTGCATATCGGGAGTAAGGTGGTAGAGTCACACCCACTTCGGATAGACACGCCATGTAGTGGAGGATCCGACACCAGGACACGGGAGAACGGAGTTTCGTGGTGCACGAGCATTCTACCCTCGCCAAAGAGGAACGACACGATTGTGCTCTTCCCGGTCCCCGTCGTTCCGAGAACTACGATGTTTGTATCGGGCTTGCTCTCGGAGTCGCTGTCGTACACGGAGTGGGTCAAGTACGTCTCCACCTCCTCGAAAAGAGATAGCCCTTGGTCCAGAACGTCTTCAGTGGGAGAATCGAGAGACTCCTCCAGCTTGGCAGCAACGACTGCGATGGCTTCCTCAAGTTTCTCACGGCCCATGGCTTCTTCTTCTCGGAACTCAAACTGAGCGTTGCAAACGAGTACTGTAGTTTGATTGATGGGCAGCCACCAAGGAGAAGAAAAGTCTTCTTCAATGTCCAAAAATACTTGGTGTTCTCCACACCAATGTATCCATCCTTCAACCAATCAAACCGTCGTCTGCGAAATGGCTACACCCCGAAATCTTGCATCCGATGGCGAAGGGCGGCGGCTTCTACGCCGTGGCGGCGGGCCGCTCGACGGGGGTCTTCACGACGTGGGCGGAGTGCGAGGCGCAGGTAAAGGGCTTCAACGGGTCCAGGTACAAGAAGTTCAAGACGAATACCGAGGCGCGCGCCTTCATCGACGACTACAACAAGCAACATGGCTTCACTCCCTCCTCCTCCGAGCTGTCACCACCAGCTGCGAACCCAAAACGACCCAGAGAGGATGCTGTTGTAGTGGGGCAGCCTCCCGCTCAGAAACTTAAACAAGACCAACCAGGAACCTATTACGCCGTCGCTAAAGGTCTCAAGACGGGGGTCGTGACCTCCAAGCAAGAGGTGGACGCCATGACGGTCGGATATCCCGGTCGCTCAGTGTACAAGCAGTTCGCCTCCAAACAAGCGGCTCTCGACTATTTGGCTACAGTTGGTAGCCATTCTTCAGCTTCCCTGACGTCGATGCTGAAGGACGAGAACAATGCAAGCTCAAGCTCTACGCAGCAGAGAGCGGCTCTTGGAGTCGGGATCGACCTGAAAGAACCTGCTCCAAAAGGTTTCGCCGGGGCAGAAGCCACTGCGGATGTGGACGCTCAAATGGCAGAAACTTCATCAAAACCTGCAGGTGGTTGGTGGTATGCAGTGGCTAAGGGGCGGAAGACGGGTGTGTTCCGCACGTGGGCTGAAGCCAAGAAGCAGGTCGAGAACTTGTTCAGTGCCAGCTTCAAGAAGTTCCCGACCAAGGAGCAGGCGGAGGCGTTCGTGAACCAGCACGCTGCAGCTACCAAGGGTCAGTCGGGAGACCCGGACCCGAAAGACCCCAGCAGCTTGGTGGCTTTCTGTGATGGGAGCGCTCTGGAGAATGGACGCAGGGGCTGTCGGGCAGGTTACGCGTGTATTTTCCCTCATAACGAGAGCTGGAATGTAGCCAAGCAGCTCGTGGAAGATCGAGTAACGAACAATCGGGCGGAGTACATGGCTGCACTTGAAGCCATGAAGCGTGCGAACATCGAGGACCCCGAGGCATCGCGCGTGCTCTTCATCTTCTCGGATAGTATGCTGCTGATCCGATCCATGACGGAGTGGGTCGGGACCTGGCAGAAGAACAACTGGAAGAAGTCGGACGGCGCGTCAGTGCAGAATCGCGACCTACTGGAGCTGTTGATGGCGGAGAAGGGCAAGCGTCGAGTACGCTGGACCCACGTCAAGGCGCACACCGGCAAGAAGGACTGGAGGTCGAAGTGGAACGATGTTGCAGACAATGCTGCTCGTGGTGCAGCGTTGACCGTTGGTGCTGAGAATTGAAACTAGCTGGTAAGTACATGTAAACACTGATGCCTTTCGTTGATTCCTTTCGTTTCGTGCAACACCATCTTGACGCCATGTTGCAGCAGCCAACATGGACGCTGCATACCACGTCAGAGCCTCATCCCCATCGTGGGCGACAAGGTCAACTACGCAACCGCGGAATGTCAAACCGTTAGATGCAATGCTCCTACGTTGTCGAGCATTCCCTTGCTCGGAAACACGAAAGCAGGCTCGTCGCAGATTATCCTCATCACTGTGACTGTCAGCGCTATCGTGGGACCGGCCGTCAAGGCGTTCTGCCAACGGCGGCACGCAGCCAGAATACTCCGACGCCTTACTCCAAGAGCTCAGTCGCCAATTTCCTCGCAGGAGTCCAAGCAAAGCAGCAAGAAGGACCCAGTCAAGCCTCGCTCGACCGCGTGTATGATGAAGTTTTCTGCGCTGCTACTGCTTCTGGTGTCGGCGATCGCTGCTTCGGTCGTCCCAAGCGCGTACGGGCTCGAGGATGACGCCAAGGGTACGAGACCTCAACTTTCTCCTATGTATCTTCAGAAGATTTTAAGTGCTCGTTGGTATGTTGTGTAGGAGCTCACCTTCGCCACCTGCAAGACCAACCGGATCAACCGGGTCAACCGCAGCAGCCCGAGTATCCAAACACGAATGAGCAGCCGCAGCAACCTGGTATGCCGAACACGAACGAGCAGCCGAACGTGGCGTCGATGATTCTGTCGGGCTTGATGAACACGGGTGGCAACACCAATACGAACCCCAATCCCGGCAGCAACGAGATTTTGGTCGGCGGGTGCTTCCCGGGCTCGTGGAACTGGCCGGGTTGCCGCGTTGGATGTTTCCCGGGGTCTTGGAACTGGCCACGCTGCCGTTTCGGAGGTGGCGGCGGTGGCGGTGGTTGCTTCCCTGGATCGTGGGGCTGGCCGCGCTGCCGCAGTTGCTTCCCGGGCTCGTGGGGGTGGCCTGGTTGCCGTACTTGGTGAACGGTTAACGCTCTGCCGTAGTTTACCGGATGTGACGCAGTGTCACGGGCGAGCGCAAATGGCAAAAGCTTGAAGCTTGAAGTGCATATCAAAAAACCAGTGTCGTAACCGATGATGTCCTGTAAGAGGTGGCGACCGTGGGAACTTGAGTTAGTGAAGCAGGATAATCCAGCAAAAGAACAAGCAATTGATGTTTGATAACGAGGACTACAGATTTGTTCACTCGACCTACAATACGCAAAAGCTAGCGCTCCACGAATCTGAAAAAGCTCAGCTGCCAGCATTAACGCAACAAAGTATTTAGTGCTCGATCAGGATCGAGCTGAGTTGCAGGGTTAAGGCGCCGCGGCGGCATCTTCTCCGACCATGGCTCTGCCATCATTTCGGTTGTAGAGATCACGGTACGTGCGAATATTTGGATCCCCGCCTCCAAACGCAGCAACTGCCGGCATCATGCAGATGCGTGGACGCGGAATTGGTGGAGGTGCACTCTGCGCAGCAGTACGAGCGGCATTTCTTGCGGCTTGATCCGCCACGTTGTTCCAGCGCGACTTTTAGTCTTGGTCACTAGAATGGGCCCTCACATGCTCGTACATCACAGCACGGCTGTTGCCTCGAGCCTCCAGCAACGCCTGCAACAAATCTCGATTCTTCACGGGAGTACCCGTCGACGTGACCCACCCGTCGTACATCCAGTCGATGACCCACTTGCCCATCGAGTTGACGAGCAATTCGCTATCCGTGTAAATCATTAATGTCTTCTGACACTTGGGGTCTTCAATATTCGCTCTCTTGAACGCTTCCAGTGCGGCCAAGTATTCGGCTCGGTTGCTCGTGGCAAAGGGCCCCTTCACCGTCTCAACGACATCCCAGCTTCGATTGTGCGGGAAGATGCACGCGTAGGCCGCGTGGCAATTATACTGGCCGTTGTCCATGGCGCTACCGTCACAGAAAGCCACCAACGAGTCGGGCTTTTTGGGGTCGGGGACTTCGAAAAGGGACATCCCGCGGCGGTAGGCCGCCCACGTCCAGGAGCCATCCGGACGCATGCGTCCCACAGGGTCCACCATCATCCCCATGCTCCCTAGGATCTCCTCGCCTTCAGCGAAGGTTTCCACGCTGGAGACTTGCGCCCCCGGGCGAGTTCCTGCGCGGCACCCAAGGACGAGCAAATGCCCGAAAAGGGACCGAATAGCGTGACGTAGTATTGGCCTTGAGGGGGGCTATTAACGGGGCCAAGCGTCGCAGGTAGTCTGCAGCCTCGCGGCTTGAGCCGAACTTCTTCCACTTGCCGCCTGAATAGCCATCCACTTGACGCCGGGCCTCCTGCCAGTCGCGGTAGATGCCAGGGGAGCGCCCCACTGCCACGGCGTAGAACCAACCTCCGTCCATTGGCGCGTGTCTTGCGCTGGCTCTTGCCCGCTGGCTGAAGAATGAGCTCCTCACGTTTTTAAGGGAGTGTATACGGGTTTTACAAATCCCCATATCCGTAAACGAATGTTGCACGTATTTAAGGGACCGTAAATACGTCGCTTTAGAAGTCTACGGGACGTTTCTAATGTGAAGTACCCAAATTGTGTTCAGCACACCATGTGAGCACTGAGGCCGGCGCAATGCCGCTAACGTTGGTGACGCTCGCCGCGCGTCCTCGGCCTGCCGTGGCTGCCCTAGACCACGTGCTGATAGCGATTTCCTCGTATTTGGACTATTCAGGTCTGATTCCACTGGATCAGGCGTGTGCGTCTGAGCCCATTCGACTTCTGGACCGCATTTGGGACAGCAGCGACCCGGAGACTCAGGACGGAAGTCATCGCTGGTCTCTATGCAGGCACCTGAGGAGCGATATCCACTACTATCGACACCAGTTCACAGCGTCACTGCGAGCTGCGGTGGTTCGAGGAGATTTGGAGATTGCACGCTGGCTTCTGGAGCACTTCTCGGGGTGCAAGGCGGACGTCGAGGTCGTGGAAGACGCGGCGCGCAACGGTCGACTCGAGATCCTGCAGTTTCTGCTGGAATTCGAGCGCGAAGGAGATGAAGACGACGAGGCGAGGAATGCTATTTGTTGGGGCACCGATGATATGGTCAATGCACTGGAAGCAGGCTTCCCGGAGGTCGCGCGCTGGCTGTACGAGAACACCCCCGAAGCTGATCGAGACCTGAACAGAGCAATGGAGCTCGCCGTTCGAAGCGGAGACATGTCGGTGATTCGGTGGCTGCTTGATGTGGTGTACAGACCGGATCTAAATCTTCCTCCACCGGCGCTCAACGATGCTGCTGCTGGCGGTCACATGGAGCTCGTGCGATGGATCTTTGAGCAAGGTTACGACGGCGGATCGGATCGTGCACTGGAGGGTGCAGCTAAGAACGGCAATTTGGAGATGCTGGCATGGCTTGTAGGCCATGGCATAACCGAAGGAGTGGACGAAGCTGTTCATGCGGCTTGTGAGCTGGGGAATTTGCCCATATTGCGATGGTTGCACGGCCACAAATTAGGTTACTACGCCTTGTACGCCGTGCACAGCGCTACCTATCATGGTCACTTAGATGTTGTGAAATATCTCGATGATGTCGGCATTGTGGATTCAGCGGCAGGGATGATGAGGATCGCTGCCGAGCGTGGGCATCTTGACATTGTGGAATGGCTGTATGGGAAGTTCACGCACAACAATGCTGTGGACCTTTTCCCGCCGATCGAGACTGGGGAGTTTCCAAGACCTACTGCGATGGACAAAGCTGCAGCCAATGGACATTTCCATGTGCTGAAGTATCTCCATTCAGTTGCCGTGACATATGAGGAAGAAGGGCGAATTGGAGGCCCATTGTGCTCCAACATCGCCTTTCAAGCGGCTGCTGCCATGGGACACCTTAATATCGTCAAATGGCTGTATGATACCTATCCGGAGAAGTGTACGTCACGTGTCGCCACCTCAATGGCCGCTCGCAGCGGTGAACTGGAGATCCTTCGGTGGCTTCACACTCACACGGACGTCGAGTGGACGACGTCTGCGATGGATGAGGCGGCCAGTGGTGGTCATCTTGCTGTGGTGAAATGGCTTCACTCGAATCGATCTGAGGGGTGCACGGAGTACGCGATGAACCAGGCGGCACACTTCGGTCATTTGCACGTTGTCCGATGGCTGAATGATAATCGCTCCGAGGGGTGTACTACTGAAGCGATGGACCTCGCTGCTGGCCCCGGATTCTTCGAGGTGCTGCTATACCTGCGTGATCAGCGCACCGAAGGCAGCACTACCGTAGCGAAGCTCGCTACACTTCACGGCGGGGGTAAACACATACTTGCGTGGCTTGAGAAGCACTACCCCGATGACTTGTGGCATTCGTGATGATAGCCGAGGATGTCTGCTCGAGCAGGAACAAGAAATTTATGCAATCGATTTAATAATATTCGATACAGTTTGCTCGATACTTTTGGCTGCATGTGCGAAGGCATTTTGGGTTGGAGCTACCATTTCCTCAGAAGCAACGCTCCCCGGCACGGGCGTTCCGTAAGCAAGAGATACAAGCCTACACTTGCACAATGTTGAAATGCATACTTAAGTAAGTTGTTTTTAGTAAAATACAGTACGAACGAAGTAGGTCTGCAATATCGCGCAGGTCAGATCTAACGCGATCGAAATGCCGATATTGGCACGGATCCTGTTTAGGATAGGCCACAGAGTCTGATAGGAGCTACAAAAGATAAAGGACTTTTCGCCTCATTTCCGAATTCACGCAGGAATCGAGAGCCCTCAGGACCCAAGGACCAAGATGCACACGCACTATGCTATGCTGTTGGCCATCTTGTTCTTCTTAGCGAGTATCGACACTGTCTCGGCGCACGCACAACCGAAGCCAACCGTTGTTTTAAGGCAGCATTTTCCCGCTCATTTACTCACTAGCAATGGGAGTGTGGGCGCCGCGAAAAGGCTTCTCCGATCGTACAAGGTGAGCGCAATAGACGGCTCCAACACTGAAGACGAAGCAGACAGCGAAGAGAGATTAAGCGTATCGAAGCTTGTTCAACTGGACCGAGCGACATGGAGACTTCGGAAAGTTGATATGAAGTTGTCGGAGCTGATATGGATTGCAGCGGGAAGGACTCCTGCGTTTATGTTTAAGCGTTTCCACCTAGATTCAGGGAAGAAGATTATCCTGGAGAACAAGAAGCTGGTCCAGTGGTTTAGATTCACGCAGACCTACAGGAACAAGAAGGGGGGGGTCGACAATTTTCCTGATAGAAAAATCGTCTCGCTACTGGAAAAGCACATTTCGAAGACCCAAATGAAAGCTGTGCTCTAGGACCTCAAGAGTATTCCAGACCTGCAAAAGTTCGCTGAAAGACTGCAGAAGTATTCGCTCGGAATATGATCAGCCGAAGTGAAATGAGAGTGCATCAGCAATACTGTAGCTTCAGTTAGTTTAAGTGTATTTTGCACCAGATTAATCTACACCTGTGGTTTTCACGACACTACTTACAGTTCGGAGACTTTGTGTGGGGTGACCTGCTGTGTCAGTGGTAGTGGATTCCTTCCCCAATGATGTCGAGCATTCGCTTCTTATACATCATCATCTTTCTGTCCCACATGTTTCGCGTGAACGGCACGCTGTGCCCTGCCACGCGGCTGGCGACGACGTTCTTGCCACAGAGCTCTGCTGGGATCTCCACTGGTAGCTGGGCCACGATATGACGCATGCGGCTCATGCTGAAGCGCATGCACGCCTCCGGGTGGGCCTGCAAGATGCGCGTCTTGAGTTGCTGGGCCCCCAGTGGCAGTGACGTGGTAACGAGCGGGTCCTCGTCCGGGCGCTCAGACGCGTCTTGAAGAGCAGGTTCGACTTCTTGCGCGGAGGGAGCAGCCCCATACTGTAGCGTGTTGTTAAACGAAAGGGTTTGAGCTGAGCGCGGCCAATTCGAAAGTGAGGTGGGTCGGCCCTCGAGCACAGCATGAAATGCCTGTCAAACCACAAGACAATGTCGAACAGAGGTGAGGTTCATCGGAGCCCAAAGTCTAATCCGAGTGATGTGATGGCCCTCAAGGACATCCAATCCCGCCGATTACCACTGTCACCAGTCGGTCATCCTAACACGCATATTGGACTGCCGGTGCTGTAGGGCCCCCCGTTATCGTAATACAGAACTCTGCCTGAATACCGAACGCCTGATATATATAAGGGCTCTAGGTTTATAAAGTGATCTCAGCGTTACCAGAGAAAAGGTTGTACTGAATTAGTTTATATTAGACGGGATTTGACGCTTGCTTAGTTAATCAAACCCGAGTAAAGCAGTGCTGAGTTGTTTCAGCGCTGACCTTCGACCAAGCGTGTTCGCACCACATCAGTGCGTTTAGTAGCTCTATTTTGTACTACTCTTAGAGGGCTTAGCGGGTAGTGCGCAAATGTGAAAGTGGAATCGTAAATACAGAGAAGATCGCACAGACAATCAAAAGGGCGCCAATTTTCAAACTGCACAGCTTGGTACTTTTAGCCAAACAAAGGTATCCTGGATTTTACATCAGTACCTTTGCCCATCTCCGTTCCTCCTGTCGTTGGACCTTGAAGTATTATTTGTATGAGGTTATGTATTGTATACCCGTTCGGTATTGAGGCAGATTTCTGTACATGTACAGCTCGGCTTTGAGGGGCTTTCGCGGTGCACAACAACAAGGCGAAGACGATTGCGATGGTCGGTCGACCAAGGAGGATTTCCCTGAGAATGGGAGACTTTTGGCAGGATGGGGGATCTCCGGTTCTCGTTGAATACACACTGGCACATGTGCGCAGAAGACCAAGCCCTCTGAAGAAATAGTGTCGCGTTCAGTTAGGCTACCTGGCACTCTAAGTCTCTAATAAGTCTGTGGGGGCGGGGTAGCTGGTAACTTCTCGGCGCTGTAAGTGTCGTTCGGACGGCGGCAAGTGGGCTAACTGGGGGACTGGCGAGGAGCTGCTGCGCCGCATCACCGGTAGGTAACGTACTCGTCGATCATGTCCAACCGCCTGGTCCGCTTGGTGCGCTTGCAGTTCTCCCACATGTTCATGGTGAGAGGCACGCTCTTGCCGCTCACCAGCGTTCGCGTTGCTCGTCGGTCTCCGAGTTCCCCGGGGATGACCACGGGCGGGGTGGCCATGTGGCGCATATGGCTGAGGCTGAAGCGGAGCAGCTTGCCCGGGTGGGTCTCGAGGATTTTGTTCTTGAGCGCACGGACGTTCTCCGGCAGCTCGACGGGAGGCGGGTGCGAGTGACGACGACGGAAGCTTGGACGCTTCGTGAGACGTCGAGGAGACTTGAAGGGCTGCGGCCCGGCCTGCTGGAGCTTGAGCGCGTGGATTTCGGGCTGCACTGCCATTGCTGCGACCTTCGCGCTCTTTGGCTTGGGGGTTTGCTGGTGCGTTTGGAAATGCCGAGCTGGCGGGGGTCCGGAAGAAATGAAACGAGGCAAGGAGACCGCCGCTCACCTGTGACTGGCTGGCCCAGCACAGCGCGACGCGCGCCTCCTACCTACGCCAGCGCACAGAGCTCGGACGTGTTCACTTCCGCCGTGATTGGATGCCGGCCGCCTGTCCCTGACTATTTGAAGCACCTCGGGCACCGCCCAAAAGCCTTGGCCCGACGCAGCGACTGACGACCCCCTCTTGCCAAGACTGGGCGTCAGGTGCCTGGCCAGAGATTCATCGCCAAAAACAAGCCCCACAGGTTCCAAAGACGGCTGCCGTGGCCCAACGTTGGCCGAGCAATAATTTGTTGAATTTGTTGGGCGTGTCGCGCTGGCTCGCCACCTGTGCGGCTTGGCATTGTAGCGCAGAAGCTCTTGTGTTGGTGAAGGCACACAGTTCAGAGCTTGGATTTTGCTTGCGGTGCTGCAGAGCATTGCTTGGTCTGCCGTGGAGCTGCGAGGTCCTTGTTGCACTTTGCGTTCGTCTACCGCCTTTCGCGTGCCCATCGAATTCGCCTCGTCGCATTTTCGACTCGTCGCATGTTTGGGGCATCCTATCCGGAGCTGATGATGCCACGGCGTCGGCGCAGCGGCTTTGGCTCCCAGCCGTGCTGCTTGGTGCCGAATCAAGCGGAGCCCAAGTGCTTCGTCGACGACCTTCACTCAAGAGAGACGGCAAGACCCAAATCTTCAGAAATGCAGCGCTGCGTTTCTGAAGATTTGTCCTCTGGTGTCCTGCTGCAGCTTGTGGTTCCGAAGGCATGATGATGTCCGCCGTAGACACGTTGAGGTGTGCCGAAGGCGGCATCCTCCCCCAGCACTGCTGCCCAGCAATCGTCATCATTGCACTGCAGCTCCAGTCTGTTGCCAACACTGATCTACAGTACAGGTACAGTACGGATACATGTAATAGTTGGGCTGCAGTCCACCCTCCACAGCAACAACGCTCGATGTGGAGATGCTCTTTCCTCATTCACAGGCCGGACTACACGGTGCAGTAGCTGCCTCGGCAAAGAAAATCTAGTGTCTACATGTGCACGTGCCACTACAAGTGCGTTTAAAGTTCACCGAGTTTCATTATTTGTACTAAAACATCACAATTAGCAAATTGATTTTACCTCGAAGCGCAGTGCATTTTTGTTGCATTTTATAAGCTCAATCGCGCACTAGGCTTCTTCATCAGTCGGGTAGCGTTTCTCCAACCAGCTGAGGATGTGAGTTTGTCTGTGTTCTATAGCGAACAGCCTCGCTGCAGTAGTGCAGTTCTCGGTTTGTTTGGCTCGCAAGAACAACAGCACCTCAAAGTGCTCGCGATCAACCGCGAAATCCATTGCGTCCGACACGATTCGAGTGCAGCCAGCGCAGAACCTGCAGGTGGCCATTGCGAGCAGCGTAGTCCATCGCGTTCGCTGTGCAGCCTTCTGTGCGGTTCTCATGGAGCCATTTCACCAAGGCGAGATGGCCATTCTCAGCCGCTGCATCCATGACATCGGTGGACCACTCCACGTCGGGCAGACTGTGAAGCCATTGGAGAATTTCGAGACTGCCGTTGCGAGCGGCCATACTCGTGGTGGAAGGCTGGAAGCGCAAGTGCGGAAATGTGGCATGTACCCATTTCGCAATCTTGAGATGGCCCTGCGCACACGCCGACGAGAGGGCCCATTCAGAGCACGTCGGTCCGCCATTTTGTCCTGCTGCATGCATGGAGGTTGCAATCGAGTGCAAATGTTGCAGCACGAGCCAGTGCCCGTTGCCGGCCGCTCTATCCATGGCAGTGTGGTTCGACAGCCCCCCATGTGAAGCAGCAACTGCAGGAAAAAGAGCAGCATTGCCAAACTTGTCGTGTAGCCATTGCACCGCATCCAGCTGGCCGCACGACGCTGCGTCGATCAGCATGCGTGACGGGTCATAGTAATGCCAACTTCGGACAAATACTTCACGATGTCCAAGTGTCCCTCACGAATAGCGCAGCCCATGGCGAAGTGAGGGTACTGCACCAACTCGCGCTCCAGCAGCCACTGAACAACAGGGAGATGGCCTTGCCCACACGCGACCTGCACCGCTTCTCTGGCGCCTTTCGTGACCCCGTTCTCCACGAGCCACTTGACCATATCCAGTCGACCGTTCTTGGCCGCTCCTTCGAGTGCGTGACTCTAGTCTTCACCGAAGTTGTGCTCGAAGATCCACTGCAGAATCGCCATGTGACCGCCTGCAGCTGCATCGTTGATCGACGGAGGAGAAAGACGGCAGTCCCCTGTGTACACGGTGCCCATCAGCCAGTGGACCAATTTCATGTCACCTTGGCGAACTGCCAGCCCCATCACTGCTGACAGGTTCCTCTCAGTATCGGGAGTGGCCTCATACAGCCACCGCGCCAGCTCACCATGCTCCGCTTCAATCGCATTCGCCATATCGTCCCCACCCCACACGATGGCGTTCCGTTCGTCGTCGGCTTGGTCTTCTACAGTCCCGTACTCGAGAAAGAACTCCTGAATCTCGCGTCGACCACAGCGCGCGGCTTCCTCCACGACCTCCACGCCCGCTGTACACCCCACAAAATGGTCGAGAAGCCACCTCACAACGCTCGAATCTCCTCGTGCTACCGCCGCCAATAGAGACTTGGAGAACTGGAATCGGTAATAGTGGACATCACTTCTCAAAAACGAGAGGGGAGCGACCAGCTCGCGCCTTTTGTCAATTCTGGAGCGCTGATCTCCCAGATGCGGTCGAGCAGGCGAGTCGACCCGAAGGAGCACGCAGACGCCAACGGGAGCATCACCGACCCGTCCAAGTACGAGGAGATGCACGCAGCGACATGGTCCAAGGCGGCCACAAGAGAGGTCGACGCCCTCGACTTAATTGAGCGATGGTAGAGTACCGGTAGTCAGGGAGGAAATATCAGCGGGTTGGGAGCATCTCTACCGGTCCAGACCAGTGCCAAACTGGACTCACTCTGCAGACTGCAAGGGAAATATTGCCAGTCGTGCACGACCGATGGGTTCATCAATCACGTGACTTCCTATTAGACGAAAATGGCCAGCTAATCATTGGGTAAGAACTATATTATTGACCAATAGCAGTGTCGTAACCATGGCGAACTCGAGCATCCGAAATAATGACAAAGCGTATCCTCATCAGTGTCGGCAAAATTCCACGTTTTGAGCGAAATGTGGGTGGGTGGCTGCGTCTTGGCGGGAGGAGTCCCACGACGCCCGCGAGCCCTCGAAGCTGCGGTTGCACATGGCTGTGCTCAAGTACTTCCGAAGCGGGACGGCGAACATGGCCAAAGATCGGTGTGAGTTCGAGAAGGGCGCCGCGGTGTACAAGGCGCCTTTAGACATCGACATGAACGTCCACCGGGGCGACGACCGCGTGGGCGAGACGGAGCCGCTGGGGAGCACTGCGACGGCATCGACATGCAGGGCCGCATCACGGGGATGCCCGCCAGCATCGGCAAGGGCATCATGCAGGGCACAGGGGTGCTCTTCTTCGCGGGAGTTATCGATTCAGGGCCGGCTTGGTATCGGAGGTGGAGAGCTGGGTCGCGCAGGAGCTGAAGCAATTTAAGCTGCCCGTGTACATCAAAGACAGCACGGGGGCCGTGCGCGAGAAGAGGGAGTTTATCATCTACTCGGTGAAGCAGCGCTGGCCAAGTACGAGAACGTGCTAGTTAGGGTGAACGAGATTGAGGTGAGCCTGCTTGAGGGGAAGCTGCCGAGGTGCACGCGATCGCGGCGACCAAACGGGTGCAGGCAAACAGCTTAACTGGAACACGACGGGCAGCGCCGTCCGAACGGGCAGCGATGGCCGCTGGGGTCCGCGCGAAGAAAGCGGACAAGGTCGTGGCTCGAGCACATGGCATGCTGGAGGCGTGTCGTCTCGTGGTCGTCAAGCACAAAAGAGAAAGAGCGATAGCTGCGCAATTGGCAGAGAGGATCAGTGAAGAGCACGCGTTGTATGAAGCAAGGAATCAGTCTGGGCAAGACGTTGCGTCTTCTCGACGAGAACAAGCCGCCGCCTCCGATGCAAACAACACGTCGCGCCGCCACCCCTCTCACAAAAAGATATTGGGGAAACGACGAGCGTCGCCCGCATCACCTTCGGATTCGACTACGCAAGATCCTTCGACTACCCAAGAGAGTTCCGAGTGGGAGCTGCGGCTTTAATAGCGGGTTGGCGAGACGGACTGCTACGAGTTCAAGGCCAGCAAATCGTTCTACCGAGTCTTCTACACGTGGAAGAAGCAAGTTGAATGCATGAATTTGGTGTTGGTGTGATGAGTAGTAGTGGGGAACACTCAATGTGAAAGCGTTAATGGACGACCTTAAAGGTCAGGCTTCGTAGTTGTTTCGTACGACTATCGAGCACGCCTTATCAATAAATCGTACTTGAGTCCGAATTGCTGTAAGTCGTGGATGCACTTTGGAAAGTGCCATTTCCGAGTTAAACGGGGTTCGAAACACGACTTGGTGAGCAACTCGCATTCAAGGCCACTATGATTTTTTAAGGGCCTGTTTCATTTGAGATTAGCCATGTGGCGCATCTCTGGCGGCGAGCCTCATGTGAGAGCGGACACTGAGGCGGGACTTGGGACGGGAGCGACACACAGGAGGATGTTAGCGCTGTTGCCTTCGAACCCCAAAAATGAATCAAACGACGTAAGTGGCGGCTTGATTGGTTTTGTTTGTTATAGCTAGATACAGACTCCTTTTGTTAACCAAATTGGTTTGATCAGATGCAAGGTTCCTGGGTCCGAAGTGAAAAAGAAAAGTGAAAAGATGATCCACCGCAGCGGCACCAGGGCTAAGCAAAATACAATACGATATTGATAGGGCTCTCCAACCCTCCCCAAAAAAGTAATTGTGTTATTTTCTTATTTTTCCCCACTAAACTACCACGACTCAAAGTGTGTTCGAGCCCGTGTGGATAGTTTACCTCGGTTACCCTGGGTAACTTAGCCATCACCGTACACATATCCTACGCATGCATCAGATTTCATGTGCCTGTATTTAAGATACAACACAAAGAATGGATAGTTAATAATATATGTATTATTGTGCCTTTCACCTATTTTGGCGGGTGAGCTGTTAAATCAGGTGGAATTAGATCCATAAAAGGACGAGCAACGCTTATTTAGTGTTAATTCCGACTATGATTGTGAGTGCTTCCCTTAACCCACGCGATCAGCATTTGCAAGGCAATCGAGTCGATTATCGACGGAGATACGAGCAGAATGGCATGGATTGGTGGGTAGCAAACCGCCAATCGCTCTGTTTCCGTCTAACTCAGGCTGGATTAGCTTATTCCGCCTTAGAGCATCTCCACCGGTCGTGAGTAAAACTAAATTTTACCCCTTTTCTGTCAATATTTAATTATAGTTTTAGTTTTGTGCAGCTCCACCGGTTTGAGTAAGTGCTGAGCAAATTGCTCCATTTTTACGCAGATCAAATTTTTGCACAAGTTTGCCAACGGAGGAGGCTTTGAGTAAATGGTTGGGTAAATGTCGACCAGCCAGTAGTAGGGCCATGTCAAGCGTTCTAAGCAGCGCAAGCGTCACAGACCGCAGTGTCGCCCTTGCTACGTCATCCCTGGGTCTTCCTCGACGTGCTGCCGGGCCCGTTTTCATCTTTATAGGGCTATACAGCTAGGACTCGCCGTCCCCATTGCTGGCGCCGAACCAAGAGCTTTAACGCGCTCGCTGCGAGTCTCAAGGGCCGGTGAAGCTGCGCACTGTCTTTAGCACGGTTGTGTCGTTGTAGGCACGGATCTGAGGGCAATTTGCTTTTAGTTTTACTCAGCACCGGTGGAGATGCTCTTAACTCGGCCTCACCATCGCCGCTCTTAATTCGACCGGTGGGACGACCCGGAATTAACATGGGAATTAGATAACTCAGGGCATAATTAGAGCCGAGAAGGGATTAGAATTATGCCAGAATTATCACGGCAGAATAAGTGAAAGGCACAATAATATTTTCACATTCTATTACAGCTGAACTCGATGTCTGCAAGATATCTACATTAGAAATGAGGGACTCATTGTAAATCGTTGCTCTTTTTTCATGCTCCTTTTGCACACCAATTGCCGTCGAGTGCATGAGAAGTGGTCGTACTAAATCTAAGTTGTATAGATTTCCTATTTCTTATTGCACGAAATTGGTGACGGGGTATCAGTAAGTTATTCCCGTAAGTTACTGCAAATCATTCTTACGGATATAGGAATTTACCGAGCCCTGAGCGGCACTCCATCTCCCCATGGTCGCCGCAACTTCCACATTCGACTCTCACAGAGCCAAAGTATCACCACTCTCTTCGGCAGACATTATCGCTAGCGGTGCAGCGCATATTAGACCACTGGGGCGAGTGACGTTCCTGGGGCCATCGCCGAGGACAGGCCACGCACGTCTGGTACCCAGCCCTAACGGCAGGAAGAGATTGGTCTGAGCCATTTCTAGATGCCCGAGCATTAGCTGGTTGTGGTGCTGCTCTATGCCGAGTAGCTTCTGCGCTGTGGTAAAATGGTCGTGTGCTTCCTGGGACTCTTTCTCAACTGCGCGTAGTCGATCTTTTATCACGTCGAGAACAAAAGCATGTTCAGCTTGTGCCGCTTCGTGAGACTCGCGTTGAATCTGGAGCATGCCTCGGGCGTGGTCGAGCTCGGCCTGAACGACTCCAAGCTGAGTTCGCGTGTGCTGATGGTCTTGACGTACCTGTCGCAGCTCTTCTCTCGCAGCAGAGAGCTGAGCGTGCAGTTGATCGCGGCTGGCACGGCGCGACGGTCGCCGCCCTGAGCGCTGGACTGCGCTCACCTCCCCGGTCGACTCCCCGTAGATCCTCTCCTCGTTTGTCGCGCGCACAATCACGCGCACAATCGCGCGCCGCCGTGACCGATGATCCTCGACGCTCATGTTGGCAAATTGGGAAATGAGGAGAGAACTGAACTGGTAAGTCGTATCTCATTCAGCGGGATAGATGGATCACAACGATTGATAGGTTTGACCTACTATGGTACTTCACAAAACTACTGGTAGCGCTTTTTGACTTTCTTTCGAAAACCGAAGTTGGATATTGGTTGTGTGGACCGAAGCGTGATGCTGGCCTTGGAAGAATACTCCCGTGGCACATCGCTAACTCGCGCGCTGCTTGTTACTGTCGGCAGTCCACTATTAGTTGTCGCAGTCGTTTTGTTGCAAGAAAGTATTCCGCTTCAAGACCCGGCAGCTGGTTGGAAGGCTAACTACGGCTTTTGGTTCCGCGTGGGGATGGTTGGAATTGCTGTCGGTATTGCAAGCACCATTCACATGCGGTTCTGGATAGGCATTGATGAAGTTTCTATTCTACGCACTATCTTATATTGCATTGCTGTCGGGGTCGGCTACATTTCGAGTGGAATGGCGGTAGCGGCGGTGTGGGTATTTCCTATCCCATTCTATATGTTCACGCTTGGTGGATTAACTTCGCTGATTATATTGGTTTACATCAGGATTGTGATGGGGTCCCGTGCATTTTGGGAAATCTTTCATCAGCACGAGCTACTTCGTCGAATGAAGCAAATCTCGATATTGCAAGCTTTCCTCTACGTCGTGTACCCTTTTTACCAAGTGCTTTTCACTAAGACAAACCACAGGAACTACGAGCTGCCAGTAATTATGCTACTCCCGGCATTTCGGCTGGTGATAAAGAAGGTGTTTGCAATGGCGGCTTCCGACAAAGAGGACATGATCCCGGTTCACGCCGTTTTCACTGTGGATTTTTTCGATGCGGTGTATCTGACGACTTTCATGCAGACCCTGTCGACAACAACACTATTGATTATTGCCGCTGTTGATATCGTGCAATCTGCAGTGGAATTGCAAGAACTTCATCAACGAACGGTTGGTATCATTGCACGTATCCACAAAGTTGCTGGTTCTACTACCAACACTGCTTACAATGGACATTTGCTGGAGGCTGTGCGATCGCTGTGTTCCTCTTCCGGAATACTGCAAAGCCAAATTCGAGCTGGAATAAGCGTTCGTTCCTGTATCCAGCACCAAGTTTCACTAGAGAGCACCAGTCTGTTGTCGATTCTCGGAAATGCCAACCAAACGGGGCCCACAGCCAAATTGTTTGAACGCTTGCCGAGTATTGTCCGCCTCCCATCGCAGTCAGCATCGATAAGACCCACTCCCGTGGAATTGGTAAGGGCGAATGTTTGTCGCGTTATATTGCCAATTATAACTCTCGTCCATCCAAGTGCGCATTATATGTTTCAGTATCTGTAGTCCTGGCCGTGGTGTAGCACACACCTTTCAGATCCACATGTTGCTCCGTATAATTTTGTGGCCTCTATTGGAGGTGGCAGGTGGCGATCGTGACGATACAGCAACTCCAGTGGAGTTACTCCACCTATTGGTCTGTGCCATACCATGACGGTGCCGACATCTGCCTACACCTGCCGACACGATCTATCATTGGTGAAAATGATGAAATTTTATGATTGGTCTAAAGGGCTACATTGACACTTCTCCCATTTCAGTGCGGGCGGGCGGCGACCCTACGGCGACCCTGAGTGCAGTACCTGCGCATGCCCGCTACGGCCCCCCCTCCCCAGGCTACGCGTCCGTGGCGTGCGGGCATGCGCAGGCGTGATGTCTCGTCATCGCCATCATACTGGCCCTCTCTCCTCGCCCAGTGTGAGGGCACGGCGGTGCGCCCCTCCAGCCAGACGAGAGAGCGGACGACCAGGAAACCCACGGCAGGAAGCGCGATGGACTGAAGGCACAGAGCGAGAACACCATAGCGAGGAGGAAAGCGAGGGGGCGAGGACACAAGGGACGGCGTGCTGACGAAGGCCACAGAGGGCGACAGAGGCCTCAAGAGCGCGAATGGGCGGCGAGAAGACCAAGAGCGCGAAAGGACGGCGGAGGGATCAAGTGCGCGCAGGACGGCGAGGGGACCAAGGGCTTTAACTTCGCGGAGGACAGCAAGGAGACCAAGGCCACCAAGTGCGCGGAGGACTGCGGAGGCAACAAGTTCGCCGAGAGCAAGAGCTAGGAGGAGGAGATTGATGGAGGGCGCCTGGCGGCGGCGCAGACGATGTCTTACCACCCACGCTGGACATCACGCGGGACAAGAAGAACAAGAAGAAGGTGCCCAAGATGGAGAAGATGCGGAGGCTAGAGCAGCAGACAGCACGCGACGCGGAGAGCCAAGGGATCCACCTCCTCCTGCAGCAGACGTAGCAGTAGCCGCCCGCCACCACGGCACCCAACAGCAGCAGCAGCGCAGCGGATGTGCACGTTGCGCCGGCGGCTTCTAGTTGTCGATAGCTGGGTGTGACGAGAGGCACGCTCGCTGCTGGCGATCTTGGGGAGGAGTAGGACGTGGTTATACGGCTGCTACTGGTGGTGCCTCCGCCGCTGCAGGGTGGGGCGACGCTTTCTACTAGCGCGGTGGTGCTTGGTGGTGCTTGGTGGTGCAGTGTAATGCACGAATATTACGTCTGTAGTTATTTATTTTAACATTGAATAAATTAAAGTTTGATGCCTACTTTGAACTCTACGCTGCACAGTCCGCACCTCAGTCACTGAGGCTCAGTGGCAGCGACAACAGCGGCTTCGGCAATGCCCAAAACAGCTTGTGCCATGAATCAGAGATGGTTCGGGCGTTACCGACGAAACTCGGTTGAATTTGTAGAGCAAGCGAAAGCGCCATACAGAACGCTTCAAACAGGCAAACAGAAGCAATACAATGTCATAGTAAAGTGTCGGCACCGTGCAAAATATGTGTATAATCACCTAATTACTTAACTTCACTATAGGTGGATAACATATCTCGACAGCCCTGCCTACATTATACGTCGGCAGGAGTGTCGGAGGCTCATACACCTACCCCTAACGTTGATGATTGGATAAAATACCATCTATCGCCCTTCTCATTCGATAATAATCGGTCATCGCCATTTGATTGGACCACGGCCACCATACAGAGGCTAAGTATAAAATCATATGTGTCGGCACCGTCACGATATTTATCCATATCCCAACTCACTACGAAAAAGGGAATACCCGAGAGCAAAACAACCTACTACAGTGCATACAAGTCCAACCATAATACGTGTACATATTTCTACAAGCAGTCAATAATTGGATGGTTTTGGCTACTTTGACAACTGTGGAGCTTACATCGCGCTCTCATCCCGCTGTGGCCGCCTTGGACCATGTCGCTGCGTGCATCTCCTCGTACTTGGACGGGTCGGTGATGCTCCCGTTGGCGTCTGCGTGCTCCTTCGGGTCGACTCGCCTGCTCGACCGCATCTGGGAGATCAGCGCTCCAGAATTGACAAAAGGCGCGAGCTGGTCGCTCCCCTCTCGTTTTTGAGAAGTGATGTCCACTATTACCGATTCCAGTTCTCCAAGTCTCTATTGGCGGCGGTAGCACGAGGAGATTCGAGCGTTGTGAGGTGGCTTCTCGACCATTTTGTGGGGTGTACAGCGGGCGTGGAGGTCGTGGAGGAAGCCGCGCGCTGTGGTCGACGCGAGATTCAGGAGTTCTTTCTCGAGTACGGGACTGTAGAAGACCAAGCCGACGACGAACGGAACGCCATCGTGTGGGGTGGGGACGATATGGCGAATGCGATTGAAGCGGAGCATGGTGAGCTGGCGCGGTGGCTGTATGAGGCCACTCCCGATACTGAGAGGAACCTGTCAGCAGTGATGGGGCTGGCAGTTCGCCAAGGTGACATGAAATTGGTCCACTGGCTGATGGGCACCGTGTACACAGGGGACTGCCGTCTTTCTCCTCCGTCGATCAACGATGCAGCTGCAGGCGGTCACATGGCGATTCTGCAGTGGATCTTCGAGCACAACTTCGGTGAAGACTAGAGTCACGCACTCGAAGGAGCGGCCAAGAACGGTCGACTGGATATGGTCAAGTGGCTCGTGGAGAACGGGGTCACGAAAGGCGCCAGAGAAGCGGTGCAGGTCGCGTGTGGGCAAGGCCATCTCCCTGTTGTTCAGTGGCTGCTGGAGCGCGAGTTGGTGCAGTACCCTCACTTCGCCATGGGCTGCGCTATTCGTGAGGGACACTTGGACATCGTGAAGTATTTGTCCGAAGTTGGCATTACTATGACCCGTCACGCATGCTGATCGACGCAGCGTCGTGCGGCCAGCTGGATGCGGTGCAATGGCTACACGACAAGTTTGGCAATGCTGCTCTTTTTCCTGCAGTTGCTGCTTCACATGGGGGGCTGTCGAACCACACTGCCATGGATAGAGCGGCCGGCAACGGGCACTGGCTCGTGCTGCAACATTTGCACTCGATTGCAACCTCCATGCATGCAGCAGGACAAAATGGCGGACCGACGTGCTCTGAATGGGCCCTCTCGTCGGCGTGTGCGCAGGGCCATCTCAAGATTGCGAAATGGGTACATGCCACATTTCCGCACTTGCGCTTCCAGCCTTCCACCACGAGTATGGCCGCTCGCAACGGCAGTCTCGAAATTCTCCAATGGCTTCACAGTCTGCCCGACGTGGAGTGGTCCACCGATGTCATGGATGCAGCGGCTGAGAATGGCCATCTCGCCTTGGTGAAATGGCTCCATGAGAACCGCACAGAAGGCTGCACAGCGAACGCGATGGACTACGCTGCTCGCAATGGCCACCTGTAGGTTCTGCGCTGGCTGCACTCGAATCGTGTCGGACGCAATGGATTTCGCGGTTGATCGCGAGCACTTTGAGGTGCTGTTGTTCTTGCGAGCCAAACAAACCGAGGGCTTCACTACTGCAGCGAGGCTGTTCGCTAGACAGCACAAGCAAACTCACATTCTAGAGTGGTTGAAGGAGCATTACCCGCAATAACAGCACCCCGGCCAGACCAATCTCCATCATAAAAAGTGCTGGTAAATTTGACAAGATGGCTCAATAAAATAAAAAGGATTGCCATGATTGATGGGTATTAGGAGCCTCCGACCTCATTTTCGATTTGGAGAGAATGGAGGACGTTAGCGAGGGCGAGAAATTGCTGAGGGCTCCACCGCTGCGGCGCTTAAAGAGTGAGCTACAAGAGGGACTGCTAGAGCTGTGCGGGGAAAAGAAACTTGATGGAATTCTCTACATCCAAGCTATCATCAATGCCTTCATGGGGCCCCCTCCACGGACTATTGCGCAAGTATGCAAGTTAAATTCACCGGCGATGCTGCGACAAATTATTTCCGAAGTGGAAAACGAACCTGAAGACAGTTTACTGAAGCTACCGGGCTTCCATCGATGGCAGTTCGATCGAGGGATGAAAAGAGCTACAATCGCTGGGCATTTGGAGATGGTCAAGACGCTGGCGTTGAGTTACCCAAACTATGAAGTGCCCGTCGACGTTGGGAGAGTTGCTTTATATCACGCTCGGCTAGAGATTTTGCTATGGCTGTTTGCCTTCCGCCTGAACAGCAGAATGGTGATAAATGCTGGAATGGTTATGATCGCAATCCAGAGCGGAAGCCTCGAGACAGTCAAGTGGGCTTACGGCCAATGCACTTGCAAATATGACCTTGGGAAAGCAGTCAACAAGGCCGTCAACCTAGGTCATTTGGACATCGTAATATGGCTGCTCGAGTGTTTGGAAGTGAAGAATAGTTTATATCGAAGGGAGGAGCAAGTTCTTGCGCATGGGTGGGTGGACCCCGTCGATACTATACAAGATGCGAACGAGTTTATTCGTCACGACAGACTTGACTTAGTACGCTCGCATTTTAGCGTCAGGTCTGTAGGTGCTGCAGGCTGGATAGATATTGCTGCTGAGTACGGCCACTTGGAGATTCTCAAATGGTTACTTACCAGCACCAACATCGGAAAGTACTGTACTACAAACGTCATGGACAAGGCTGCCGGCAGTGACCACTTGGAAGTAGTCAAGTGGCTCCACCAGAACAGAACAGAGGGCTGCACCGAAAGTGCGATGGATGTAAGATGGTTAAATGGCTACACGAGAACAGGACGGGGGGCTTCACGGCAGATGCTACGTTCTTCGCTGCCAGGAACGGACACCTGCAGGTGGTCCAGTGGTTGCACTCCAACCGACAGGAAGGTTGCACGACTCGTGCGGTCGACGATGCGGCAAAGAACGGGTTCCTCGATGTTGTCAAGTGGCTGCTCGAGAATCGGTCTGAAGGATATTCTACCGACTTGGTGGCAGCCAGTGGACGCCTACATGTTGTGAAATGGCTGCACAACAAGCAAAAAGAGGGGTGGACCTTGGAGTGTTCAACCAACGCGATGGATCACGCAGCCCAAAATGGACACCTGCATGTCGTAAAGTGGCTGCATGATAACCGGACGGAGGGATGCACCCGTAAAGCGTATGGTGGCTCCACAAGAATGGATACGAGGATTGGACTGGGCAGACTCTGCAATATGCGTGAGGGCGGGGCATTTCGACACCGAATTTCTCACCGGCTCGGACAGCGCAGACGACCACAGAATGGCGATCACTCTTTCATCCCTCCGTGCACGCTTCATTTGGCGATTCTTGGATTCGATGTACGCTTACAAACCGTCTGGGTGTTTGACTCAAAACACCCAGACGGTTTGTAAGCGTACATCGTACTCAAGACTCTTGAGTCGGAGCTTTCGGAAAAATACCCCAATACGATTACTACGTTTCGAGTAAGATATTCATTCTTCGTGGATTAAGATACGAAGCCTACGGATACTTTTCTCCTGCGAACAAACCAGCAAGTGCTTAAAATCCCAAAAAATCATTCATCTCTTGCAGTTGTATGCGTCGGGTTTGTATATATGCATAGTAAAAAGAAAAAAAATTAGTTAATGTTGTACGTTGAGATGTGGAAGACACGTCGTACTTCGACGAGTGGTAACGCTAAAGGAACGAACGAGTCTGCTCGAGGTTTGCGTTCAAGTTGGCATCAATGAACGGGACCCTGGCTTTCTCCCCAAAGTCTGTTTCGTTCAGAGCAATTTGCGCTTCTTCGGTCAGCTGCTCCCACATGATGAGATCCTGGAGTTCGCCACCGGTCCTTGCCGTAGTCATCTCCAGTATACTGCCGTAGAAGGTATCCAGGTATGCTAGCATGGCGCTAGTGCCATTGATGTAGTCAGTGAAAGGTGGGCTGCAACTCCGACGACCGCAAGCTGGCGGCCCATTCTTTAGGATCTGGTATTCCCCGGTCTGAAACGAAGTCGAGACGGCGAGAATCTTCGGCTTCTCGAGTGAAGGGTTGTCGAGCCACACGATGAAACTAGCCCACTTGTGCCGTTGGCCCGACCGGAAAAAGGTCCCGTAGGAATCCTTGGGGAAATACCACGTATACATAATGGCCCAGAGGTCCTTGTACCACACGGCTCGCCCGTACACTTGCGAGCCCAGGCTAGAGTTTTTGCAGTCTCCGTCAGGTTCCCCCGATGGTTTCAGCCCTCCGCTCGTCTCACCCGCGGCATTCACCGCAGGGTACGGGTGGCACCCGCTTCGGATTCGGATGCTCGGCTTGAACTTGACGGCGGCCTTCTCGGATACCGTGGTCGGCTCGGGCTGGGCGAACGGCTGCACCTTGTCATGGTCGATGTTCACAGCTTCAAGAGAGCTGAAGGCTGCGGCAGCGATGAAAACTAGTAGGTAGAGGTCCATGGTCTTGTCTTGGAGGCAGACAAGAAAATTGAAACTGAGCTGTTCTGTATTCGGCGTCTTCGCGAAGATTGAGCTACATGTTGCACGGCCTAAGCTTTGTTGCAAGAGAGTCGATACCGTAGTAAGTACTCCTGTTTCCAGGGTTAAAAGTTGTGCGCTGGGAAAAGCGCACGCTTGACGTCACGCAATATGCGAATACGACACAGGATCGTATCTTGAATGGGAGGCTGCCGTTGCCCGAGGTGGTTAGAGCACCTTTAATGCGAGCACCGTTAATGGCGCCTTGGGCGCCATTAGTAAAGCAGCTGGTTTTCAGGTAGGAGGGGAATATATAGTCTGTTGCCTCAGCTTTCCAAAGTCCAAAACGGGTGCTAACTTGGCTGTACGCAGCACGTAAGCCTGCTCCTGGACAAACTTTTGGTACTGCCTACTTCATAGAGGTATGCTAGAGCTATCGAACGCACTAGCTTGCATCGGCGGAGTATAAGTAGCCACTTAGCAGGACCTCCGCCTCCTCAGGGACTCCTTCGGGGTGCCCATTTCCAAAGCCATCAGGCTGGAGGTCATCCCTCCTACACTTTAATGGCGCCGTAAAGTTAAGGGCGCTCTAGCAATCTGTGCAGAGTCTGTGTACAGAAGCAAATCTTTACACAGATCGGAATAATAAGGGATTTGTATTTACGGATAGCAGCGAGACGGGTGTCATGGGCTCGTCTGGTCGTGTACTGTGAAATGAAATGAAATTAGCGGTTATGTCGGCTGAGCCGCGATATGGGGATCTCCCGCGGTAGCAACCCAAGGAGCCAAAAGGCCCCACAAAAAAGGAAAAACAATATGCAAACTAGGATCCGTAGAAGCGTCCACATCCTAGCACCTCCTCCACCTCATCTCGGCGTTCTCTTCGCTACTGTTCTAGTGGTTCTTGTCGCCAGCCTTCTCGTCGTTCCCTGCGTCAATCCCCTGCTCCTTTGCTTGGTTCGTCAGACGCAACCAGTCCTCGGCAGTCCTCGCCGTCCATGCGCTCGCTGGAAGTCTTGGTGGGCTGGTATTTCGCCCGGCCGAAGCCACAGCGGCAACCCGTCAGACGCGGCCGCCCGCTGTCTGAACAACCAATAGTGGTGACGGACGTAGAGACACCCCTTTTAACTGGATCGGACCTGTAAGCCATCTCGGTGCCCTGGTTCGTCAGACGCAACCAGTAAATGTATCCGAGCGTCTAGTGGAACTGAGGCCGCGTTCGTCCGACGCAACGCTAATACTCATGTGAGCCCTCCAGAATTCCACTAGGTATAGCATCCCGTCTGTCCGGCGGGGGCACCTCCCCAACACCGGGGTACTACTGACGCGCTGGGTCACGGCGCACTTGGCCGTCTAATACGACTGTGCGTTGGGTGGTCCAATAATCACTCATTTCCGTAAGCCGGAGCTGCCGACGCGCTAGAAGTTTATCCACCCGAGCTCCAGGGCGGCGTGCATGCGCTTCTCGCCGGCTCCGTATCGAATTGTTAACACGGTCACGAGTGGCAACATCATCGGTATCTTCAATTGCATCATTGGTTCGGCGGCACGTCAGTTCCCAATAGCGGCGAAGGGTGTCCCAATGGTCTGTTAGGAATCGGCGGAGAAGCGTGGTCGCTTCTTTGGATGTATATGAAAGCGAACGTGCCCAGTCCTCGCATGCTGCTGATAACGTGGGATAACGCCTCCAGCCAGTCGATGCTCCATAAATCTGAGGAAAGAGGAGCTCCATTTGTCGCCGCGCATCGGTCCACCACAAAAGCCGTGAAGGGGGGTGATCGTGCACAAACCCCAACTCGAAAATAGGGTGCACGGAGACATGTGTCGTTTGAGCCGAGTACTCAGCTAGTAGCCACGATGGTGAGTAATAGTCATGCAGCACGGGAGCCCAAATGTGTCGGGCCGCGTGAACGTGTGCCGTTATGCGCTGAGGTGCGGCCACAATGCCGATCATGATGACTTCAAAATTGGTCGACGTAATCCGACGGCGCGGCTGCTGCTGTTGTTGTGCTACAGCATAGTCTGTTCGCATACGAAGTTTGCCACTTGGGATCCGGACGAGCCACTGCCCTCCGAGGCGGTTGACGGTGCCAAATCCCGGTGTATTCGCGTACACTGCGATCCAATAGACGGTCAATTCTGCGCGAGACAGCTCCGTGGTGATACGTACCTCAGTGTCCTCCCACCAGCCTTCTCCACAAGGAAAGTACACATCGTCTAGCCACCAGCCCTGCACCGTCGACGGTACAGCTAATCGCTGCTCCACACTAAATGCGTTGATCCATGGACCTTGGTCAAACGTCGCTGTTGCCCACCCTGGCGTCCACTGAACTAGATGCATGGACGCGAAACTGGCCTTGTTGTCCATGCTACGGCGCGCAGCATCTTGGAGTCGTTGTGGAATCAAGCGCCCAGCCGGATATGCCCGACGAAGATATGTACCATTACTAAGTGCTCTCCAAAGATATTGCCGTATCGATGCCTGACGAATATCCCCTATCCAGCTGATCCACTGCGCATCGCACCAGTGTCCATGCTCGATATTCACCATAGGCTGCCAGGCGACTTGCCGCCCATTGTCTTCTTTCCAGCGTGGTCGCTGAGGGAGCTCCATTCCCTTCGCCGCTTCGTGACCAAGGATTGGAATGAACAAATGCTGGTCCGGAAGCCAGAGGTCACGTTCTAGAGCAGCATGCATCACGTGGAGTTGATTTTCTAACTCTGTAGTGTTGCAACACACTGGCTGTGATAGCCCGAACCGATGACTTTGGGTATCACGACATTCCTCCTCGCAACATCTGCACGACGGTGACCATCTACGATCAAGCCGATGCTTGACTGCGCTTGTATGTAGCAACCCAAAACGTGCTCGCCAATAAAATCGGCACAGGGGCATCCCCCACCGATATCTCCACACCATCCCTCGTTCATCAGCTGTCATAACTTGCTTTGCTTCTGCCTTGGATGCCTCTAGAGTCAACCATTTATGGCGTTGCACCTCCCGTTGACGATTACGCATGTGACGAAGCGTATTACCGAGTACAGGCCGTCCATCAGGATCCAGTAGCATCCACAAATCTAAGCTTAACCATCCCATGCATGAACCTGTCATCCGATACGTGTGGCTGGCCTTGGCAGCCTCATCCGCCAGAGTCAATGCTGCCCTCTTCCGGCGGAGCTCATGATCGTCAGTGCGCATGAGTTCTTGGTGGGATCTGACCCATTCGATGTTCCTATCACCGGTCCGTGTGAGCAGATTTAAAAGCGAGCGAACTTCCATCCTGTGCGGGTCTGCGTACTTGATAAAAGTAGTATTCGTCTGGAGCATCCGACGCACTCGTTGAAAAATCCTAATAGCGCTGGTATTATCACATATCTGATTTCCAGTGTCGCCACTCAGCGCAACCCCAGCGATCAGAGCGTGAATTTCACACCGTGTTGAGGTGATGTCATCTTTATGAAACAGAAGTTGTCCATACACTGTCGTCCCGCCGTCTCTGACAGCCCATCCACCTTGACACCTCGCTGACTTCGCGTGAATGACACTACCGTCGCCGGCTGAGGGTAGATCGTTGACTGGTATATGTATCGGTACAATAGCTGAACCAGCGAGTGCGCTCCCACTCCGATCTTTGCTCACCTTGGTAGCGGGATGGACACAGAAGTCGAATACAGTTATAGTGATGCCACCGCCCGCAGGTCCCGCATAAAGTGATAAGGCAAAGCGAATGACCGATTAGCAACATAAACAAGACGAACACGCTTGAATTTTTTTGCAATAGTTCAGCTTCCCCAACGGTATTGCAAAATTGCGTAGTGAAAGCGGGTAGCCCTCCCTCCGCAATGACCGATAAAGGGTAGCGTAGCTTAAGTTATCCGCGACAAAGGCACCACAATAGGCAGCAATAGGCAACTATAGAGCACTTCAGGTCGATAACGGCCCGCCGTTGTTTGCAGCATGCATTTGGGACAACAAGTCATTTGCCCTACATACTGTAGCAACTGCCGGTAAGCCCGGGAGCTTCTATTCATCCGGTATACCTATGAAACTAGTAGTATATGTATTGTGAGAGCGTTGTGTACCTCTTTCGGACGGGTGCACGCGCTGAAGGCGTCCATAAATGCGTATTACTTTGCGTGCAATAGCTGGCAGGTCGCAGGCCGATAATCACTACGCCATCCGGGAATTGCACTATCGATTTCAACCTGTTACTTCAGCACTACTTCTGAACCCCTATCACTTCCCCGTTGGGGATGATTTTTTTGCAATTTTGCAAATATCGTGCAATTCCTTGAGTTTTGCACTACCGTTGGAGATGCTCTAAGCACCGGTCATTTCCACGTTTAGACATTGTCGCAGGCGGCGACGTCCACACTATTGAGAGTTGTAGTGGGGGATTCATGCCAGCGGCATATTTCATCAGCGATGCCGTCCATGTTCGCACGTGATTTGGTGGGCGGACAGGTTGGACAAGGGGATTTTCAGTAAGTCCTGCTCGTTCCTGGTATCGCTCAAGTTGTTCAACCAGCACATGGTGGACTCGTAGCTCACTATCGTTCAGAATTCTGAGCGCTGCGTTAAATCGTTCAATGCTGGTGTCTTGCTCGCAGTTAATGAGCCCCAATCCATTCATAGCATCGTAAAAAACACGACGCGGGGTGGTATATGGTAGTCGCAGCACATTCCGAGCTGCTTGCCGAATAAATACATCCATGTTGGCTGCTAAATGAGTTGCATCACTCAGAATCATGCGATACCGGAGTCTAGGCATCCAGATATGGTATGGTTTGCAATCGCTTTGCATCAGCGCACAGCTTCGCCCAAGTTGGTGATATTGATGCTGCCCACTGACTTTCACCGCCTTGATACACTCCGAGATGCTTGAAGCCTTCCGCCGGGGTTACCACTTGAACTGGACGGGGTACTCCCAGCCCATCATTAATACGAATTGCCGGGTAGTGGTCCTTCCCCGTGTTTAGATACATCATGAATGACTTCGCGGCGCCAAAAACTCCCCCAGTCGCATTAGCTCCGGTGAAAATGTTGGTTACATCGGCTCGCGATTGGATACCACAGTACGACGTTGATATATCGAGTTGGTCATCAACAAATAACGTACTTGCAATGTCAATCCCACCGCCATGCTGATGATGCTTGATCTTCACAGGGTCTTCGCCTTTTTCAAGCTGTGTCTGGAGTAGGTCCATGTAACATCCGATATGCAGAATAGATAGAATAGAACCCTGGCCAAGTCCAAATTCTCGCTCCCCCGTATCTATCCACCCAAATGCTGAGCGTACCTCAATCGTTCCAGGCCCCAGTAGATCAATCATCAGCTGCCTTGGTTTGACAGGAACACCCAATCTACAGTAAATAAAATCCATTACCCAGCGAGGAACGCGATCATAACATTTCAAACAGTCCTTGGATACCAGAAACAAGCTCTCTTTAGTTCGTGCGCTCGTTCCACTAGCAATCCTGTCAAGAGGGAGGCGTCTTGAACTGTTCGAGTGTGTTGAAAACCATGCTGCATCTTACAGTTTTCCACACGTCGGTCCGCATATCGTTTTATCACCAATTGTAACCTGCTAGCCAACGAACTCTGCACCGTAATTGGCCGCCAAGGGGGAAGTCCAGCGGATAACCGCAACGTTGTGTCAACCGCTGCTGTCTTCGGCAGGAACACCATTTGCTTCCGCAGGAGAATAGACGGCACTAATCCCGTGGAGAGAACGAGAGAAATAATTCGACGCTCATGTGCCCGAATTGGTGGTGGTGCAGCGATCCACATTTCTTGGGAAATTCCACCATACCCGGGCGCCACGTGCTTGCGTAACCCACAATCAATCTCGATCTGCATGCTCTCATCATAGATGTATTCGTCCCACGTCGATCGCTCTTCACTTCCTGCTTCACTCGCGGCGTTATTAGCCCCTCCCTCTCCATATCAGGTAGCACTCACGTACAAATTGAGGAAGGTCCTCGGTATCCGCAGAGTCCTCTGTGTCGAGATAACGTGGTCGCTGAGTCCGCTCGTCTGGAGGTATCCACACATTCAGGAGTTTAGTCAGTTCTTGCTGAATTTCGTCTCGATCCTCACTATACTTCATCCGATCTTCGCCATCATCAATTAGCGCGCTCCGAATGCTTACCGGGGACTCACCTTTCCCAGCGTACTCTGAAGAAATCTTTTAAATTGCTGATTCGAAAACCATTGATGCCGTTGTCGGTGGGCTTGCCGGCGCCTTTGGGTTTGTCTCCAATTTCTTCTAACTCGCATCGTTTTTCGCCAGAGTCGGTCTATATTTCGTATCCACATCCGAACAGTGGGTAAGTTTGCCATTGGAGGCCCTCTATCGAGAATGGTGCTGAGTACTCGAGCTTGGTGCTCATGAGCACATCCAGGAACGAGGCGATGCGGTTCTCGGGCCCAGGTTGGCCATTGAATCGCTGCCACCCCCCGTAGCAGGTCCGCTACAGTAACTTCATGTTCAGCACATAGACTCATCATATCGCGAAGCTGAGCGGTACACCTTTGACTACGCTTAATGCTTACCGATCGAGCCAAACATCGCTTCGTCTGATTTGATTCTTCCCATAGCGTAACCGCGCTGTGGTTCAGACACTGGTACATATTATCGATGGCGCGCTCGAGCCAAGCCATGATAGTCGATGCATCACTTGTACTCTGAATAGTATCCTCCACCAACGAAACCTCGCCCCTATCCAGCAATCCTTGCGTGTGCTCACCGAACAACAGCATGTCCTCTGGCGTCGTGTTTCTCGTGTTCACAACTTTTATCGGACGTACTCCTTGAAGCTCACGCGGCACTTCTACCCGTTCATCCAATGTAAGAGTCATGACTGGGACACCAACATGATCAATGCAGTGAATACTACGCAGCCAGATACTACTAGACGACACAAGATTGCTATGTTCACTGGAAACATATATGTCGTCCAGTGCCGACTTGGTCGCTGCTCGCTCGTATGTATACCGGACAGTAGTTGGATGGCGAAGTCGGAAACTGGAAGACAGTGCGTGTTCGTCGGCCCACGCCTTAAAGCGCGCGCTCATGTTAGCTGCTTGGTGTGATCTGTTGTCCGGCCCGACGTGATCGCAAGTGCTGTCGGGGTAGGTATTAAAATCCCCACCGACGGCAATCATTGCCCCATTTTCACGTGCGAGCACACACTGTTCTTGTATCCATGCCAGTTCGTTGACCACCTCATCTTGGTGTCGCTCGGGTGCATGATGGATATACGTTCTAATCACCCACAACGAATGTCGGCGAGGCAGCCGCAGTTTCACACGCATTGTGCGACGAGACTCCGAGTAGACAATATCCTTCCGACAGATCCGATTTCCCCAACGTTCAGTATTGAATATCGTTCCAACTCGGCCTGCTCCGATGAGTACTACACCTTTGCCCGGCCATAGTTGGCCTAATTTGCAAGCAAAGTTGTCATGAATACTGGAGGTACCAGAGAGTAACATTACATTCCCTAAAGTATGACTTTCGTTTCATTCAAAGTTGGCTAATTCCCACCAACGACTGTTGACGTAATACACATTTTCCCTCGCAAACTCAAGACCTTTGGCGTACTCTGATAGAGTGCGAACTTCGCACTGCGAAGTGACGCCAGCACAGAGGCAAGATGGCGAAGGCGAAGGCGAAGGCGTGTGTGCGTGCGTGCCTGCGTGCGTGCAGCTTCTTGAGTGTCCGATCCGCGTCTGCATGCCCTTCATCAAGCAGCAGCTGTACGCGCGCGATCTCTCAAGGAGGGGAACATGGGGGCGCGTTGAGACCGCCCCTCACTGAGCAGGGGGTGAGACGTGCTTTGCGGCTACATGTGGTGCATGTACCTCTCGATGGGGATTAGCCAACTTTGAATGAAACGAAAGTCATACTTTAGGGAATGTAATGTTACTCTCTGGTACCTCCAATATTCATGACAACTTTGCTTGCAAATTAGGCCAACTATGGCCGGGCAAAGGTGTAGTTCAGGTGCTCGTGTCGTCCTCTCGAGTGTATCTACCCACACCTGGTTCATTGCACTGGATCCCGGCCCTGCATCACTCACGACCATAACATCCATCTCATGCGATATAAACCAATCTGCCACCTCTTCACTCAACTTTGCTCGAAGATTCTTGTTGATATTGGTCGTACAGATACGAATACTCCTGTTTGACGTCTCCTCTTCCAGCACATCGTCGCCAATAAAATCGCCAGAGTAGTGTTCCCGTTGCAGGATTCCGCGAAGAAAGCTGCATCGTCTTGATTCATTCGTTGGGGCTGCGGGTAGCATCATGGGATCCCACCGACGATGTTTCTGCCCCGCCCGCTGGAAGTGAGGTTGATTAAACCCGTATCCTGCTGCTCTCTGGTCATCGCCGACAGTGACCCAGGTGATGAATCTGTGTCTGCTCCCGATTCATCACCTGGGTCACTTTCTCTTGATGAATTCATGACCGTCAGCACTAACGGACTGTTGCTCACCGCCTCCACTTCACCACGGAGCCCTCCGCTATCCACTGCTGCGTCAACCGACGCTAGCCCCACTAGCATTACCAGCATGAAAGCCACAAGTCAACTTGGAGCTTTGTGACTTTTTCCGTTTGGGAGTACGATCTACTGGTTCGACCGACCCCCGTCTCCAAAATCCTGTCTGCCTCGGTGCTGCGTACTGGTATCATGCAACTCATGGACAGCTACCCTCATGGCCGCAGCCATTTTTTGCTCCAGGGACGCCAGGAAACTCGTCATTTGGCTCTCCATAGCCTGTTGGCGCGCTTCGGTAGCTGCAACCCGTTCCGTTAGCGCTGTTACGCCAGTGTTGACTTGTGCCAACTGCTGCTCGAGTTGCCGCAACTTCTGGGTTATAATCCCTTCCACCATCGACTCGACAAGGCGGAATGCCGCTTCGTTGCCATTGGCTGCATTGACCAACTGTGAGTTTGGCGCCGCTAGTTGGGTTTTGGCACTGTTGCCTGCCGGATGGTTTTTTTGGCACAGTGACCAGGTTTTCCGCATTTGTAGCACCCTTGGTTGTTCGGGTCGTTCATTTTCTTGATTCGCAGTGGAATGTCGCCCACTCGGAGTGAGTCAGCTGATTCTTCACCAAAGCGTTCGAGTGCTTCCGTTACTGCCGATCGGTTCGCAAGCTCTGCCACAACATAATTCCGGCGAGGGCCCTTGATCTCCACCGTTGCTCGGCCAAGGTCATGGCGCTCAAATGCTTCCTCTATCTCTCTAGCCGACACTTCTGCAGAGAACCCGGCGACGATGACGCGGGATTCCGCAAACGATGCGTGCTCTAGAGCTGTTGGGCGGAAGAATGCCGCCCGCGTACGGCTCCACTCTACGTTCGAGACTGGTTTCAGGGTCAAGGTCCCCACTGCGCGGTCGCATCTGTTCGTTCGATCGTCGTTCTTGAAGGAAACCAGTGTACACGGCATTAGCCTCTTCCGGGCTTGGAAAAAACAGGCGAAACGCGAACAGGAGATCTAGGCTTGTGCGGGACATGTTCCGAAGGCACATAATCGCCGGCCACTTGGCAGGTGTACCCACGTTGACTGCATGAGATACCACCAGCGCGTCGGTGCCACCCCACGTCTGGATGGCTTTGATCAGCTCAGACGGCTGAATTTCGTTGGTGTTCACGTACTCGATCTCGCATAGGCTCAGATTAGAGATCTTTCTCCCCGTGAAGGATGGCTGCACCCAGATCCGAACACCACGAAGGTAGATGTACCCACGCTTCATGAGGCACCACAGCTCCTTGTTCTTCGTGTCCGACCGGCCAAACAAGACGATCTTGTCCGTCCCCAGCGCGCCCAGTCGATCATCCTCAAACCTCACGCCATGGTCCTTGCAGTAGCTCAGAATCTCGCGTTCAAAATCGCGTAGCGTCCAGTACAGATTCCCCACCGCCACCGATGGTTCGTCCATACTAAGCACGACCTGCATCTTCGTTCGAGTCAGCCCAGTCTCGAGCGTTGCCCACTGCTGTGCCGTCAAGTCCGGCACTACACCATTGCCGGTTCAACTCGTCAATCTGCGCCGTGGAGCTCAAGACACCAGGGGGTCCAATCAGCGGGCAGCGCGGCAATAGAGCCAGCTGACCCAGCGGTCTGGTCAATGGGAGCACCGAGAGCGCTCTGAATGGTCACGATTGGACGACGTTTCCTCCCTTTGGAGCATCTCGTTCCTGGTGGCCTGATCTCCGATGGACGGCGTGCACCTGGCCGACGTGCGTGTATGTTTGGCCGGGCAGCTCGTGGGTGACACCGCGGACCAAGCTGGATGTCTGAGTTGCTGCACGCGGCGACGTATTGCGGCGGTTTCTTACCGCCAGCCGGAAGGCGGGGCCTGTGGGGGGTCCACGGTGGCGCTACTTGTGGCTCACCGAGCCGTTTCCCATTAGAAACCAGGCCACGGGTGACACCGTGGACCCACCTGGATGTCGGTGCCTTCATGGCATGCGTGCGACTCTGGCAGGTCACCAGGTCGTTGGGTGTGCTTCGCGCAGCCCATCCTCAGCACCGTAGTGACGAGCGGGATTCGGCTGAGTGTCAATGTGGCCTGCGCCACACGTAGCAGGCCTGCGACGTGGATGGGAATATCGGTAAAGTTCATGGCGCGGCGGGGCGGAGAAAACGCAGTGGAGAGGCAGCTATACGGTGCGCCTTGGGGGAACAACAGCGCTGCTGGAGCGCTTCAAGATGGCCTGCAACATATATGGCAGCAAGGAACGCAGATCGGCTTGGACAAGTGCAGTGGAGAGGGCTTCGGTTCTCGGAGGGAAGGCGATGCCGTTCGGGGGCACAGGGACCGTGACGCTGTCCACGGGGAAATTAGACAGAAGTTGCCTGGGCCGTTTCAACCATGCAGCGGGCTGATGAGATGTGTAGGCTCAGAAGCGACGGTGGTATCTAGCTCGTTCCTTTATCAGGTAGACGTTGCTTATACAATCCTCAAATACAAACTGAAACTGAAACCATTGCCGGTTCAAAACGGCGCTAGTCCACTTCAATTTGGTATCGACAAATTTGTAAGAAAAATCCAACCCAAAATTTATATTTAAATTTTACAACAGGATTTTCTTACGATGCAAAGTGGTTTAGTAGCAGAGCAACATGGTGCAACTACGCTGCGAAAGAAGCTCAAGTACCGTACTGCATGTTCTCCATGCGCTCAGCAGCGGCAACAGCTTGCTGGCAGTGAATGGTCATCTTGTTCACCAGACGCCGGTCCATACAGTTTATCGCGCGTGTGGCAGCTCGCTCCAGAATCTCCATCCGAGCAGCCGTAAGCTGTCCACGCGGGCGAGCTGCAACAAGCTCCTCTCGCGACAATGCAAGGTCCGCCCTGATCTTGGCCTTGAGCACGCTAAAGCAGCCTAGGCATAGATAACAATTAAGTTAAGCGTAACGTTAGAATTAACAAGATACCCAGAAAAAAGTGCTTGCAGGCGCTTACCTTCAATTGGGTTGCATATTGGCGAATACGATGCAAGGAGCAGAAGCACCAGGTCATCGTGCTCAGTGACGCGCGCTTCTGTTTGGCTGTGGGCGGGGGCATTGTCCAGCACGATGACCACCTTCTTACCAATGAAGTACTCGCTGTAGGTAGAGCATGCCTTTACCTTCTCGCAGACCTCGTCAATGAAGGCAGCATTCTCAGCCATTTGAATGCTGCCGCGCTCAAACTGGTGGTGTACCAAGCCTACCTCCGTAGACACAGCGCACTGGATCTGGAGGTTAGCGCCTTTGGAAGGCGGGAGGACCACAGTGGCGCGCTTGCCCTTTTTCGCCCTTCCATGTGTACGCTTGCAGTACACGTTGAAGTTCGTCTCATCGAAATAGACGATGAAGTCGCCAGCACGCATGTGCTTGCGCAGGCCTTCAGCGAAGGTTTTGCGTTTAGCCTTGTTCACTGAATTGTTGCACGTCTGTGGCTCCACACGAACCTAGAGAACAAGCCAAACAATCCATGACTAAGCAACAGAAATAATATTATAACAAACATACTGCAAAGAAACTTACCTGTTCGAGCGTGTAAAGTTTTCCAGCCAGCCTATCGCTGATTGTGGACGTGCTCCGGTTCACGCGGAAGTCCAGCCAGACCATCCCTTGCAGCTGGGCGAGAGTGTAGGTGCAGTTCTCGTCAATGTACTCCTCGAGCGCCGCCTCGATCTCGGGAGTACAGTTGATGCATTGCGCTCTCGCTCCCCCGCGCGGCTACGACTCCACGCGGCCGCTGGCAACGAGGCGGCGTGCAGTGGTGGGTGGCATGCCGTTATGTGCAGCCACCAGTATCCAGGTCTCGCCTGCCTTGTAGGCGGCAAGGACGCGAGCCCGCGTTTCGGGTGTGTGCGGGGAGCGGGTCATGGTGGTGGAGCGGGGCGGCGTTGGTTGTCTTGAGAGTGCAGAATTGCGAATGAGCGCGTTTGTTAGTGGGTACCGTAGCCGTCAAACGAATCGCCAACCACCAGTTTGGGTTGTGCAAAACCCGCTTTGCTTTGCGTATTTTTCTGAGCTAATTTTTGGTAAGTAACATTATTTTAGTGCTACTTCACAAATTAATTCACCACATTGAAGTGGAATAGCACCACAGTGGACCGGCAAAGGTGTAGATCTTCCTCTCCTTCGCGCTGCGGTCCACATGGGGCTCCCCCCGCCGCTCCAGCTGCACCAGCTTGTTCCTCGGTCCTCCGCTGCCTTTTCGACGAGGACGCCGCCTCCGTACGCGCTCTCACGTCGCGCATCTCCGCCGCCTCGTCACCTCCAGCCATTACTGTGTCCATTGCTTCAAGTCTTATACTTTCTTCAAGTGTTTCTTGCTGGTGGATAGAGCCAGTACGTCAAACGCTACTGGTCGCTCTCCTTCCTGTCTTGGGGTGCGCCCTACTCTGCAAATTCAGGAGTGGTCGTGTACTGTGAGGACACGTTGCCACGGCAAGCAAACCTGCGCCGAGTGCCCGTAATGAGGGTCTGCGCAGTATTTACGGAGGCAAGCCCACCGCCAGGCATTCCAGCGGATTGACCCGGTGCCGCTACTCGGTATTAGTTTTCTTATTTGCGGGTGTCTGCTCCAGTACACTGCAGCACCGCAGATTCACCCCCTCTTTTTGGCTTAAGGGTACCGTTGCTGCAACGCGACTCGCCGTTGCCCTCCATAGGTTGGTACACAATTAATTCCCCACAACCAAGCTAGATTTAAATTCCTCGTCACTACACCTTTGCCACTTCAAGGTGGCCTTAGTGCAATTCAATAGATTGTCAAATATAACGGTGGAAATTCAAATGTCATTTGCGACCGCGTCAAACAAAAAGACGCTAAGCCACCATTTGGAGTTTTCGAGATAATCGCATTTGAAGTTGATCAATCAAATTTCGGACATAACCGGACATCAAATTCTTGAAAATGAAAACTACTCGTAAAACGCTTAAAAACACTCTTATTCGATTGCTTTTAGCATGAGCTTTCCGATCACATACAATAAGTCGAAATCGAAAAAATATTGAGGTCACACGCCCAAAATAACATCAGGGATTTCGGGGGTCCGAAAATGGAGATATTTTTTCAGACCGATGTTACTGTACGTGTTCTTAATACTTCGGAGTGTTCGATAGCTTAAAAGAAGCACAAGACATGCCTCTTTCGATTGATGCGGTTAAATCGCGATTCGTACTTAGGTTCGTAAGCACCTTTTCGTTTGACGCGGTCTCATTTTTAAGTTTTAGGTTTTAGGTCAAAGCGGAATTTCTAAAGTTCAAACGGACTACGACTGGATGCGGAGACCCCGCGCGCACGCACCAGCAATCGAGAACGACTGGAGAGTAGAATTCGAGCGCCAGCACTCAGAGTGCTGTCACTTTGCAACTCACCTCGACTGGCTCATGCCTAAGGAGCCCAAGCACAGCCTCGCAGCTCGCGCGCGCGTCCTAGACGCCCATCAACAGGGGGTGGACTAGGAGCTTGTCGCCAAGCACAATGGCATCCCCCAGACTACTGCTCGCTGCATCGTCGTGAGCGGGAGCCCGGAGGTGAAGCAGCGCGGCGGCTCTCGGGTGGCGAACATCAAGTGCACCCCAGAGATTGAGGCGGCGCTGGTCGCCTACGTAGAGGCAAACGGCTTGCTCACACTTGAGCAGCTGAAGACGATGGTGTGGGTCGACTTCGGCGTGGACTTGAGCACGTCTTTGATCAGCCAGAAGCTCACCGGTCAGCTGGAAACAGTCAAGCCGGTATGTTGGTATGCTAACATTACGGAACCTATGTATCGATCTAGCACTATGCTATGAATGTAGGTGCGAGTTGAGTCTGCAACTTGCAATAGAGAAGCCAACATCCAGAAGCGCAAGCCGTTCGCCCTTGATCTGCTTAAATACAGTGCTGAAGGTGCGTTCATTGTGCACTACGATGAAACAAACTACAATATGTACTGCAAGCGCATGCAGGGCCGGGCGCTCAAGGGCAAGCACGCCATAGTGAAGCTGCCGCCCAGCAAGGGTAAGAATCTGCTAATTCAGTGCGCGGTCTCTACCGAGGTAGGTCTGCTGCACTACGAGACTCAGCGCGGGAGCATCAAGATGGAGGAGGACGCTGCGTTCGTCAACGCTATCTACGACGCTGCGAAGGCGCACCCGACCTACCAGCAGCACTTTGCTGGTAAGCTGGTCGGCATTGTGCTTGACATTGCCCCGGTCCATAGCCAGACCGAGGAGCTAGTGCGCGAGCGTGACGACCTTGTGCTCCTC